GGGATTTTAAAAAATCAGTAAAAGAAGGGATATAATCACTCCCTATTTTAAATGTTCACGTTAAACTCTCCTCAATTTAAGGGATTTACATTCAAATCCGAAAATGATTCCTCCAAATCTTAACTCCATCGATAACATTTCAATTTTTTCCTTTTTTTAAAAAAAGAAGAGATAAGTGAAGTTCAAATTCTTTTTTCAGATACGATTCTTCTCCTTTAAAAGAACAATATGCTCTTTCAATACCCACTGCCGGCCTTCCTCCTCTCTCCTTCCTTCAAAATCCTAGCAACCAATAAAATATCAGTTCCTCAGCCTATTACTTCCAAACTGAAACCCGGGCTTCTTCAGCGAGAGAAATATTAGATCTTTTAGCTTCATCACTCATCAACTCACCCCAATTTCTCCGAAAGTCCAGACCCCCAATTTTAGCTGCATCAAATCAAATAAAAGAAACTCAATCTTATCTTCTCAGAATTGATGTGTATCAATTCAAATTTTAAAGAAATCTCTAAAATGTTAGATCAGAAGCAAAAGCCCTTTCCACCTCTACTGTGGAAGTGAAAGGGAAAAAGAAAACTCCGCCATAGATTTTTCAGTTTTGTACACGATTTGGCGAGTTCCAAGCGACGATGACGAATGGCGGCGGATACCATCAACATCGAGGTCGCCGGGAAAAGATAGTAATTGATGATGTGTTTTGTTGATAGTCTAAATTTGGTGAATCCCGGTCACGAGAAGCATCGATAGAGATTCGATGATGATGATGACGGCTGGATCAATCTCTTCGCAAATTCAGATTGGGATTTTTATGGGTTCGGCCTCTGTTGAAGAATTTCATGCTTTGCACTTTGACATGGTAATCAACTTACCCTCTTTATTTATTCGATTAGCTTAGCCATCAATTTCATTTGTTAGTTGTTCGTTGTTCCATGGACAGTGATTTACCTTTAACCAAAAAAAAGATGAATTATTAACTAGAGGTGGAAGAAAACTAGAAGAGACGGTGAGCAATCAGCGGATGAGAACAACACGGAGGAGGACGATGAATTATTGGAAGAGGACAACCATGCGGAGGAGGATGTGGAATCGTCAGAGGAAGATGATGAACACTGGTCAGTTCCGACTATATTCTAAAAAACTTTTTTTGATATGTATTGGAGATATCTAATGCCATATTTCAGTTGAAGATATTAATTTTTGCTATTGAAATGATTTCTATATGATTCTCGCTCTTTATACAGTTGAATAATTTGCACATGGCGAGCTGTCAAATCATTGAAAAATTGTATTTATTTTTTTATGTCTGTCAAAATTGTAATTGATTTGATGTCAAATTTGGAACGTATGTCTATTATATGTATTTTTCTCTGCTGTTTAGCTAAAAGTTGCCAACTATATCGATGGAAAATTTGTGGAGTCAAAGGCATGTCAGTGTCTTGATGTATTAAATCCAGTGAGTTGAAATGTATTTGGGATATGAGGGTGAATCCTATAAATGCTTACAAATCTTTATACGTAGACCTAAATCTTTTCACTGGATAATCTGTTAGACTACTCAAGAAGTGGTTTCCCAAGTTCCTATTACTACCTATAAAGGGTATAAAGTGGTTGCGGCTTACCTTTTGCTCTCTGCAGATAGGGGAGTTTATTCCGAATGTCACCAATGGAATTGATATGTTTTGTATCAGAGAACCTCATGGTGTTTGTGCTAGTATATATCCCTTAAACCTATTGGCTATGATTTCTTTTACTTTTCTTTGGTTTATTGCATCTTCAAAATTGCTATATTAAGGTCTACGCATGTAGAATTGAGAATGCTTTTTAATATTTACATTTTTTCCTGTAGAAGTAGTTTGGGATTAATTCAATTGTGCAATTAAATGAAGAGATGCACAAAGTCATTTCATCTTTTTTGCAAAGAGATTAATAATGCTTTGAACACATAAAAATAAATAGACTGGTAAAGGACTCATAATGGTACAACTCATTGTCTTTATGGTCTATGTTATACCATGCATCGGGCTTAAAGCTTAGTTATCGCCGTTGCTATTTTATTTATGTTTGTACAAGTCAGAGCTGATATGAGATTTTTGAAAACTGTTAGTTTAGGGTTAGATAGAGTGCATGTTTAGGTTGAGAGGATATGTGAAATTTACTTATGGTTGATTTCATTTTGATGTCATTCACAGGCAAATTTTGGAGCAGCCTTGGTCACTGAATCTCATTTGCTAATAAGATGCTATTGCGGCAGCAACAGCAGAGGTAGTTTTGGGTATTCTATGTAGTTGCAAGTAGTTGATTAACACAATCTTTTTTTGTCACTGTCCTTGAGCAATTGAATTTTAAACTTGATGAATTTTAGAGTCAAGCAGGGGTGACGGGTGATCTGAATAAGACGGATCCAAGTAACGAGCATCATCAACAGTAGACTCTTTTCGGTTTGATCTGAATATGATGAGTTTTATGTTTCTTTTGATTCAAACATATTGATAAAGGTCTGATAAACAAGAGAATTTGTTGATGAAAAGTAAAACCCCCTGTGACGGGTTTTGACAGATAGTGTCAATGAGTATTTAGATCCAGTACCAGTTGCTGAAGCAAAAACCAAGAGGAACACCAAATAATACTGTTGGTGTTTCAACTCTTCCAGTGACGATGGATGAGACGATGAATGGTTCTTCTGTACGAATATCATATATGGAGGGGCATTCCAGCTCTACTGTATTGATCATTCAAATGTAGATGGCAGTTGAAGGATTCAAAGCCCAAAGTAAAAAATTAATTGAAACCTAAACAGGTAAAGCTTAGATTTTTTATTTTTTTTTCTCTTTTGGTTCTGAAATTCTGAATTTGCCACCTAATTGCACTGAATTTGGTTTTACCTTTTGATTTAGTGTTGATTTTTATAAACTCGAAAGCCTTTTTTATTTGATTTTTTTCCCTCTTTATGATTACAAAGTGAAACTCCTTATAAGCTTTAACTATTTCTTGGCGATTTTCATGTAATTTTAGACTTTTGGCTTCTTTAGGAAAAAAAAGAAGAAAAAACGGAAGAAGAATGTCAGAGCAGTGAATTAAGATGGACATACTCTGGTGGAAGGCAGTGGTGAGGATGATGATGATTACAATGATCAAATGTTTATGTTGCTGATATTGTAGAAGCTGATAATTTTTATGGAGAAAACTGGATGCTGGTTTCAGGATAATAATCATGATGAAAATAGTGATCATTCCATGGCTTCTTATGCTTCCTCGGCTCCAAGTCTTCATGAAAAAAACGTGGGAAATCAAGAGCGATTCTCTTCAACAGGGTAATACGATTGACAGTATAAGGAATCATCATTCTTGAAAGTAGAAAGACAAAAATGTTGCAGCAAATAACATGCATGAGAAGAAGGATACCTGAAGCTGAGGTTGATGCTGCAGCAACAAAAGGGGCTGGTTCCAATTGTTTTGTACAAGGAAATAAGGTGAGGAAAAATCTGGGACGAGAAAACAGACTAAATTATGAGCGTTTAACATTTTGGCCATAAGAATTGAGGTAGACAGTAGTTATTTTGTAGGTTTTTTTTGTTTAGATATCCTTGGTTGGAAATAAATGTAATGTGTTTGACTGGAAAATGGAATTACACATGTTATTTATGGGTTAGTTTTGGCCATGCTATTTAGGAGGAGGTTAATTGTGTGTGTGTGTGTTTTTTTTTTAATTCTTAATGAAGTAGAATGATGGTTGAACATGTGAACTGGCATACTAATTCATTGTAAAACTGATTAAATTTTGCTAGAATGATGGAATTAAACATGTAATTTATGGAAAAATAGACCAAATCATGCTGGTTCTGTATGAACTTTAAAAAAAAAAAATTAATTAACCAACTTCAAACACAGGGGCCGCCCGAGTGGATGCCCGGCCAAGCATCTAGTAAAATTTATATAGAGTATGTCTTTTTTAAGGATATCGGAGATTCTATTTGTTTCAATTTTGAGTCAAAGGATCTAACCATCAAATGAAATATTACTGGATGTTGAGAGTTTAATTAAGGCTATTTTTTAGGGCACGGAATATTTTACATAATTCCATGTCAAAATCTTAATTAAGGCCAGGATGAATATGGTTCAAGTCAGCTTGTTGTTATTTCCTTCCTCATAATAATGAGCGCATACCACATGACTGATAACTCTATGTTGGTGTAGAAAATCTAACTCAAATATTCCCTGCGGTCCTTATTATAAGACATTTTAGTTTCGTTTTTATTTACATATTTTACTCAAATATTCCCTAGGATGTATTTTTAATTGGAAAAAATACCTTAAAAATATATTTACACATTCGTTGTGTTTTCTTAATTATTATGAAATGTTTTTAAGGTTTTTATTTCAATTAAAAAGACATCCTAGATGAAACTTATGACAAAATCAAATTAAGTTATAATAAGGATCGGAGGGAGTAATTTACCACTATTAAGCCACAATTTCATTTGCAATTAAGAAGTTTATAAAACACTTAATAAATTAGACTGTAGGCTAACTTAAATATTTAGCATTGTATTAGTTTAGTGGCTCCAGTCTTTTTGCTCCCGGCATCCGGGGGTTGACTATAGTCTTTAGGTAGATTAATACATTTCACTATATTTTGCAAAATATTGTAATAGACAGATTTATATCTGCAACGGTACCAATAAATCTGTTACTCTTTTGGTCTTATGTGTATATGGGACAATTTAAAACTATATTTATTTTTCAATCATGTGTTAAAAAATAAGGACCTTTACAAAAACAATATGTGGTGTACAACATTAATTTACTCGTTTGTTTTTGTCATCGGTATATATATAAACTAAAAGTGCTTTTTTTTAGGTAAATGTTAAATTATATTACTACTTCCTTTTCACCAAAGTAGTCTCATATTTACACACATATACAAGTGGACTTTCTACAAAAACTGAACAAGCTAATCGCCTAGTACAGAGTCCACCATACACTAGACTACCAAAATACTATTACCAAAGTTCCAATGACTTCAAAATTCTTTCTTCACTTGGTTTAGGATTATGGATTTTGCTTCTCACCCTCCATCTGATCTCCTTTCTGATATCCACAACTGCACCATCCACCGACCGGCTCACATTTTCATGAATTTTTTGATTCCTGGCCTTCCAGATGTGATAAAACCCTGCTGCAATAGTGGTTAAAACTACTTTCTTCCTCACACTTTTGCCTTTCCATCTATATGCCAGCCTTCTCGATCCATCAACCTTTAGCCAGTTCTCCGGAAACTGAATCCAGGATCGAATTTGCAGCCACAAGTCTTTTGCAAATTGACACTTTATAAAGAGATGCTCCACTGTCTCCAAAGAATCTTCACACAGAGGACAATTAGCGTTCTCTACCATCAACCCTAGTTGGAGAAGACGATCCCTTGTAAGCAATCTCCCCTGCCAACAAAGCCAAAGCACAAAGCAATGCTTAGGCACATTCAAACTGTTCCAGATGATTTCAGGAGCTTTCTGTTGTGTTGCAGGCCCAACTAAGAATCGGACACCAGAAGGCAGAAGCAATACTATACCTCCCATTTTTCTGAGATCTCCATCTGTTAGAATGGAATCCATCTCTTAGTTTATCCCTAATCCCAAGTAGATTCTTCCAATGCTAACTGGAATCTTGGCCTGTTGTTACTTCCCAGAACCCATTTTTCTTCAGATATACCCCATGCATCCACCTAATCCACAAGTTATCTTTACCTTGGATAAACTCCCAAACTTGCTTCCCTACCACTGCCACCTTCCACAGACTAATATTTTTAATCCCCAGTCCCCCTCTTTCCTTCTGTTGGCACACCCTCTGCCATGCCTCCAAAGAGAACACCCTTCCCAAATCTTTCTTCCCCCACAAAAAGGCTCTACACATTCTTTCCACCTATGTTACTATGCTTTTAGGGATAAGATACACTAGGGCCCAGTACGTATGCATATGCATTAGTACTGAGTTAATCAACTGTACCCTCCCCATATACGACAGATGACGTAGAGCCCAACTCTTCAATCTGCCTGCTATTTTCTCTATACCAAGTTTTGACAGTCACTTTGAGACCAAGTGCCTGGTGACAGAGGGGAAACCTAGGTATTTTAGCGGAAACTTACCCCTTTCAAAACCCACACATTCCTCAATTCGTTCCCTTTGCTCATTTGAAACCCCTCCCACATAGATTTGTGATTTTTTCCAGTTGGCATACAACCCCGTTGTCTCCCCAAATTCCACTAACTTCTTCATAACAGTCTTAACAGTCGCTTCTTCTGCTTTTCAAACTATGATTAAATCATCTGCGAAGTAGAGATTTACAATCTCCAATGCTTTGCACTGTGGATGAAACTTTATAGTCCTTTTTTTTTAATCTCCTCTTTGAACATCCTTGTGAGGTATTCCATTACAATTACAAAGAGCAAGGGGGATATAGGCCCCTGTCTTAGTCACCTTTTTCCCTTAAAGAAACCCACCAAATTCCCATTGAGATTGAGAGAGAATGTGCTAATACTAACACACTGCATTATCCACTCTACAAATCTCATAGGGAATCCAAAACCTATCAGAGCCTCATGCAAGAATGACCAGCTAACACTATTGTAGGCTTTCCTTAAATCTACCTTCAATAGACATCTAGGAGAAACTGCTTTACGCCTATACAACCTAACCAGTTCCTGAGTGAGAAGAACATTATGTTTAAATGATCTCCCTCTAACTGGTTATCACTAATCAAATCAGGCAGAATACAGCTCAATCTTTCACTCAGAATCCTAGTGATACACTTATAAAATGTATTACAAAGAGAAATACGTCTATACTCGCTTGCGTCCCTTGGCGATAAACACTTCGGGATAAGTGAAATAGAGGTGCTATTTACCTGAGTAAGCAGTTTCATCTCATCAACCAATTCCTACACTGCTATGATGACATCCTGTCCTACAATATTCCAGCAAGCTCTAAAAAATCTGCTCCCAAAGCCGTCTGGACCAGGACTTTTATTCGGATGAATTGCAAATATTGCAGCCTTAATCTCCTTTGTTGTGAACCTTTTGCATAGCCTGACTTGATCAGAGATGGAAACTTTCGGCCCTTGGTCGAATATCTCTTTCACCGCAGTTTTTGTATCCACCTCCACCTCCGGTAACTGATGGTAGAATTGAATGAAATGCGATTCCACCTTCTCCCAATCCTCTATGAGTTCCCCCTGTTCTATCTAGTTTGCCATAATTCTGTTTCTGGCCTTTTTTTCTCTCTTATCATAGCATGAAAATAGTTGGAGTTCTCATCCCCCTATTGACACCATTTTTCTTTCGCCTTTTGTTCCCTGAAGCTCATTACAGCTTTTCCCAAATTTACATACTCCTCCACCATTGCCTTTTCAGATTCTTGCAGGCTAAGATCCAATGGCTTCTGCTGCAATTCAGTTTGAATAATTTCCAGCTGCTTTTAAACATTGTAATATCTACCTTCAATGTCACTGAATTGACTCCTATTCATCCTTTTAAGTGGGGCTTTTAAGAGTTTCAACTTGGATACCAATTGAAACTGTTTTGTACCCTCAATCTCCTTTTCCCATACTGCTTTCACTATTTTCTGAAAATCCTTTCCTTCAAGCCACATATTGAAAAATTTAAAAGGTCTCCTACCATTTGGTGACTTCTGATCCCATTGGAGGACCAAAGGGCAATGGTCTGAGATTCCTTCTCTTGACGCTGTCACATAAGCCTCACTAAACACCATCATCCATTCATCTGATCCCATCATCCTGTCTAATTTACAACAAATCCTCTTATCACCCAGCTGTTTGTTTGACCAAGTAAACTGAATCCCAAGTGTTTTGATCTCCTGCACCTGACAGCCATCCATCATTTGTTGAAATTCTTCCATTTCCTGTGCTTTAAATGGCAACCCTCCAAGTTTCTCATCTTGTTGCAGAATGGAGTTGAAATCCCCCAGGATCCATGGTTTACTTGTATTTGTTAGCTGAATGAGGTCCAACCACAACTCTGATCTATCCCCTGGAACATTTTTCGCATAAATTACTGTCATAATAAATTCCTTCTTCTCCGCAATCTCTTCCACCCTACAGTGAATAAACTGCTCCTTGATCACTAGAGCATCCACCTTATATTCTCCCCTCCTCCACATCACCATAATCTGTCCCTTCTGTTGTTGTGTTGCGTTTTTTATCCATTCATAGTCCTTCCACCATCTTATCATCATTATTCGACACTTCTCAGAGCTAAGTTTAGTTTCAACCAATCCTGCAATCCCAATCTTGTGTCCCCTAACTATATTTCCTACTTCCTGATGCTTCAGAGGATTATTAAATCCTCTGATGTTCCATATTAACACATTACTCATATTGATTTGGGACCAGGATCAATTGATTCCCCGGCTTCACCTCCTTTTTCCCCCCTCACCCCAACAATGCTCTAGTTTCTCAGTATCATTCCACTCCCGACACTCTCCTTTTGAGCCCTCAGCTTCCTGGTTTTCATGAGTCTTCTTGTCTCTCTGAACAACCCGTATCCCACCAGTGATTTCACCTATTCCTTTTCCTTTATTAGCGCCAGAAGGTTCTGTCATCTCTACTGCTTTTTCCTTTATCCCCATCTCAGTTTTCCCTTGTAAATCCTGCACTTGTTGATCAGCATTTCTCTGTATCCATTTAGGTTTAACTGGCTCTCTACACTCCTGTTTCAGATGGCCATAACCCTTCCAATTAAGGCACAACACCTTTTTCCACTCATACACTATCTTCTGCTCTTGCAACATTCCCTCTTCATCCATGAATTTCACTTTATCAGGTAAGCTTTCCTTGATCTCCATTTCCACTAGTACTCTAGCAAACCCGGCCCTCATCTTGTTACATATTAGATCATCCATCCTCTTCGGTTTGCCTATAGTGCTCATAATCTTACTCAGTGTGCTTCAACTCCAGTACTTTAATTCCAGATCAGGCAGTTGCACCCAAACTGGAACACTGAAAATATCTCCACACTTAAATCCCTTCTTTACATTCCACTCCTTCACAATGAGGGGTTTACTGAAGTAGTGATATACAGAATTCAACGCCTCCTGTTTCGCAAGATCTTAGTTGCACAATATAGTATCCCTCTTCCCTTCTCAGTATTTTCTCAATCCCAAGCTTTCCCCACACTCTATGAATGAATTTCGACATAACTTGGAATGGTAAAGCAACACCCAAAACATAGCACCCTATCAAATTCTTCCAGTACTCAATCTCTTGCTCTACATCACTAGAATTAATACATGCTATTTTTTTCACTTTCAACTAGAGTTGGTTCAATAAAATCCAGTTCTGGTCCATGCGATTTTATCTTACCCAAATCAAAATCTACTCATCCCTTATCAACGATTTTTTTAGTAGACATAGCATCGTCAACACCAGATCTATTACCACTACAATGCAATTAACCTGCATTAGATTCACTTTACTTGATTATCAACGGTTACCGGAGTGTTAGTCGGGGTCAGGGCATCTCCAACCCAACATCCCTCTAAACTCTATATATAGAGTTGCTACAGTGAAATCCTACTAGTTTTACAGTTTCAACAGTGTCAGTATCTCCAACCCATTCCCTCATAATTCTCCTCTAAACAAATATTTTTGTATTCTTTTATCAATAATTTTATTTTATTATTAATAATATTTTTTAATCTGTTAATATTCTTAATTAGTGAAAAGCATTCATTTAGATATATGATCAATATTGTAAAATATTATTGATTATTAGATTAAATTTTCAATATATTATTTAATTAATTATACCAAACATTGTTTATTGAATATTAATCAAATTAAACAATTTGGTATTAGTAAATATGAAAAATATATTTAGATCAGTAACAACATATTACACATAAATTATGTTTATTTATATTTTTAGTTTTGCTATTTACACATAAATTATGTTTATTTATATTTTTAGTTTTGCTATTTAAGAAATTAAGTAAAAATTAGATATAAAAAACAAGGCTTGGAAAACCCAAAGGTCAAGGAACTAAGGCCCAAGTGAACCAAATTTGCCCATAAAAATAAAAAACCTAACAAAAAAACCCTAAATGTGGCCCAAAAAATTAGTTAAAAAAATCAGAAATAAAGAAAAGGGGCCACCAGAATAGAGGCGCGGTGAAACAGTACTCCTTCAGCCTTGGCGGAGAAGCGGAGCTCTTTTGGCGGAGAAGCGAAGCAGAGCGGAGGCCGTTGGAGCACCCAACTCCTCTAAATCCAATGCGTCCGCTCGATTTAGCGGATGCGTTGGAGATGCCCTCACCGCCTTATCTCGTCCCACAGAACCCTTCTTCGTCGTCTCATCTTGTTCCTTCTTTTGTTGGATCTCTTCTCTAATTGCTTCTTCAATTGGTTTCTGAACTTGAATCCCCCTCTCATTCTTGCTTGATTTCCCTGTTTCTTTCGTCACAGTGCTCCCTCTGCCCTTTCCTTTGGTCATTCCGGCGTTGCATTTTGGGCAATCGCCAAGGATAGAGAAGAGAGGATTATGACGTCAGCATATCTAGAGAGAGAAAATTTTTCTTGCGTTTTTCATCCACTGTATATAATTTATAAATTTATGTTCCCTAGTTATTGTTTCGCAAAGTTTGTCAAATCTTCTCTTCTAATTAAAACATTATGGAGTCAACCTCCTATCTTTGTTACGCAATAGGTGCTGGACCATTTCCAAGAAGGGCAATGATCTTGCCAAAACAACTTTTGGTATCCAAAACAAAAATAATTTTATTTTCTAAAGTTGCCCTTGAGAGGTCAAACTCTAACTTCCCCTCTTCTGTAGCTCTGGGATTCTATGTTATCTCACAACTCAACACTTCCGTAGTACATGCTGCTGTATTTGCTTCTCCAGGCACAATTACATATAGAAGAACCCAATTTCCGTAATCAAAATACTAGATGAAAGAGCTTAAAAGAAAAAGACAATGGGGAATTATGTTATATGTAAGAATAGTATCCCCACCTTCAGAAAGAGATCATAGCCCTTGCCTGGCAAAATTTTGTCTAAAGCTATAATTCAGAAATATTATTGATTTCTTATCATATATAGATTCGTCATATTGAAACAAACGGCTTAATTAGCCAACTAGATCTTTATTCTAAGTCAAGTTAATACGAGATAACAAGAACGTCAGTGTTATGCGTTAAAAAAGCAATAAAAATTCGGCCAAGAGGGTAGGTTAAGAAAACAAGAGATGCTTTGGGAAATAGAGAAAAGCGGGCGAGAGAGATAAGAGAAGAGAAGATGCATTTGACCATATAAGGGCAAGGAATGTCATTTTTGTTTTGGATGCTAAAAAGTATTTTGGCAGAATTACTAGCCTTCCAAGAATTATTGATACAAATAATTTTATCAATTCTAACAAAAAAAAGTATGTTTTATCCAAAAAAAAAAAGAAGTTTACTAGTTATTTTATTTTCCTAATTATAGCAGTTTTACATAGAATTGATTATTATCATTATCCTTATCCTTATACTTAAATAAAAGACACAGTATGCAAGAAATAATGCCCAAGAAATATTCAAGGACTACCGTCGAATCGATCTCGTCCGTCAGATGGGGTTGATATTATGTCAGCGACTTTATTAGGGGTAAAATTGAGATTTCATAATTTGTTTCCTTCTAATAAATAATACAAAATCCGAATTTTTGTTTCCAAATTTTATTCCCCCTCGGTTAAAGAATAACACAAGTTTTAGGGAAAAATCCCCATGCCAAGAAAACGACGTCTTCGTTCCTCATTGTCCCCTCCCCCTAACCTATAAATACGATGGCTGCAGAAGCTCTTCTACTCCCGACCGGCGACAACTCCTTTTCAAACCACCACGCCCATTGAATCGGCCATTCAATCTCGTACACAGTCTTAATTCTCGTCGATTGATCGCAATACCGTTTAAATGAATCAAACTTGGAACCCGGATCCTCCGCCGCCCTCCAAGGTCTCTTCATCGTTTTACTCCATCCTTTGCAGACCCTAGCCACCGGCGAAGGTGGTAGAAGCCAAAGATTGAGGTTCCGGTGGTGATTTTCCTGCTCCAATCTCTTCAATTCTGAGGTGATTCATACAGGTTGTTCATCTTCTCAACGGGTTCGTATTGATTTTTTTAATTAATTTTTTTTATTAATGAGTTTCTGATTATATATGATTCTTTTCCTGAGCTTGTGTTGATAAAAGTAATTCGGAAGATGATCTGAGTTTTCTTTTCGTTTGGCAATGAGAAGTGCCAGTGTGGTTTCGTGCTTGATCTTTTTGCCTAGAATTGATTTATGGGCCATGGAGACATGTAGTCAACTGTGTGAGAAATCAGAATGTTCTTCAAGCAACACTGCAACTGAAGAGTTTGCCGAGGGTTCAGAGTCTCAGTCTGCTGAGAAAATAGTTACATATCTATGAAATTCATTTGTTCATTTGTTGGAATTCATTATGTCTCTTTGTATTTTTTGGTTACTGATTTTTGAAATATTTTTTTTTCCTGGGATTAATATGAAATAATTGAATTTGGTAGTTCTAAATCTTTATTTTAGAGTCAAGATGATATATACTGTTTGATGATGGATATCGTCCATTGACTAAATTCATGTTTTGACAGAGCTTTATAATTCAGATTTGAGCACTTTCACCCATATTTTTTTGAAATCATTGAATTACTTCGTAATAAGAATCTATGTGAAGCTAAGCAGGTTCCAATTCGTGAAGACAAGGAATTGGAGGGAGAAGTTGCTAAGAATTTGAGGAATAGATGCGCCAAAGCAGAGCGGCCACAATCTTTGGCTTTGGAGATTGAATGGAAATCCTCCATGGTAATATGAGTTGGTCTTGGAGATTGAATGGAAATCCTCCAAAGATTTTGAGTTGTTTGGTACTATGTTTTGGGTTATTTTCTCGTCCCCAGTTATGTTAATGTTGGGGTCGATCATAATGAAGTTTCCTGTTACTCCCGAACTTGAATTATTGAAGTGTTTTTGCTAACTATCATTGGCATGTATACATCTGATGATTACTTAGATGATGATTGAGAGTGATTGGGTTGGGACCCGAAAATTACTAAAAAAATCAGTATTGTATAATTTCTTTGACGTGTTTGTTGTTCCATAATCAGTTTGAGGATAGCTGCATAATAATGGTTTCCAGTTTGGAGTAGAAAACCCCAAACTCCAAAACAACAACGTTTTGGGGCTTTATGGTTCCCCCTCTAATCCTCGCTGCTTCCTAATCCCCCAATTCCGAACCTCCGATGCTCTTGATAGAGTCGACACGCAATCAGAAACTTCCATGGTAGGCTTCAAGGATGAAAGAATAGATGCGTAAACATCTAAAAATATCACAATAAAAAAATTCCCTTGATAGCTTGATCAAAAACATCTTTCAGGCTCCGGTGACATGGATGAAGCTTCAAGGCAGGTTCGAGTGTGGTTTGTGAGGAAGCTGAAACCTCTGTATAAAGCACTACCAACCTCTATTACCATTCCTTCCAACCTCACCCGCTTGGGTCTCTCCACTATTGTCAGTAGTTTCCTTAAAGCTGATAATTATTCTAGAATGTTTTCTGATCTAATTATTATAAACCGTTTACAGTTGCTGTTGGTTTTGATTGTTCCTTTTGGAACTATTCTACTGTTTTAGGTTGTTTCATTTTTTTGGTATTTGCGAATAAAAGTAGTAGTTTTTGGAAATTTTTTGTCCAAGTTGCTAAATTGATTTTGCAATATATATTTTAATAAAGCTTTGGCTAATTATTCCGTGATAAATGATGATTGTAAGAATGAAGTTTTTGATTTTCTTATTGATGGGAAGCTTTTACAGATGTCCTTGGAAGAATTTCTAAATGCCAAAAGTATTTCAGCTATAAGTAATGATTTTTGAAAGTTTTGCTACTTCACTAATGTTATTTATGATAAAATCTGGTATTTGTGGCTTTTTTTATGGCACTTATGCAACCTTTCAGAGAGCCCAATTTTCTTTGTCAAGGTTGTTGGTACATCCCTTTAAAACAACTTCCGAATCTATAAACTATCAGGGATTTCTGCAATATACACCTACCATTTTTGTTATTTTGTGTTGTTGTTCTCTGGTTTATAACTATAGAAGTTTTGGCACATTATAGGAGAAAACTCTTGAGATTGAATACATCAAAGCCGTGGTCCCAAGGACGTAGAGGAGCCTTCTCTACATGATGATTGGGTTAGGGCAATTGATGGTTCAAGTTCCAAGTATGCCTCTTCTCTTCCTGAGTTCTGTATGCTTTTCATAGAAATATTGTGCTATAACATTCTTAGTCTTGGATTGCTATTTTTCGAAGTTAGGTATGTTGCATAGTTGATTATGTGTTCACTTTGTTGCATTGTAATTGAACCTCCTAGCTTGTGCTAACAAAAAGAAATTTCCTTTTGATTGCTTGAAAGATCTTCGTGATGATAGAGGATACATGGCTGATCATATGGGTTGTAACGTTATCACGTCTGCTCAGGTACCTCTTTTCTTCACTTGTAATCCTAGGTTACCACTTATCATGCTGGTCATGGAAAAGAACACAATTTCTGGTGAGAAGAAATTTTTCTGACTTCTGAGTTCTACAGGGTGAGGAGCTGAGGAAACAAATTGGGACAGCAGCGTACATTGAGTGCAGCTCAAAAACACAGCAGGTTTGTTGATATTATCCCATATTCCTATGCCTGAGATGAATATTTTTCCGAGTTGGATAATATAGGCTGATCCTTATAGCCATTGATAAATTGCTAGACTCAGTCTCCTTCTCATTACTGATCTTGTAAAATTGTTACTTGTTTAGAATGTGAAATCTGTGTTTGACACTACCATCAAAGTTGTTCTCCAACCTCCATGGAGGAAAGAAGTTGCTAGAAAGAGAAGGCACAGAACCTTTGGCTGCGTCTTTGTGTAAGTTGCTGCATTTCAATTTGATCATGCACATTCTCTGCCTTTCTTATAGAAAACGTTTAGAATGTGAAAGCTGTGTTTAAACTTCTGGTATGAAAGATTTTTCAGAGACTACAATCATTTTATTTATTTTTTTGGCCAATCCTGGAAGAAACCTTTTAACGGTTCTGTAATCATCTTCTTCTCTCTGAAATAGGCAGGGAATAGTTTGCGGAGGATGTGCTGCTTAATCAAGCCTAACAAGTTGATCATTTGTCAGTGGCATCAAGAATGAATCTTTCATCAACTGTATAATAATCTTTGACCTATATATAACATTACTACTTACTGGTAGTAGACTTGTAATGGTTTTGGTGGGAGGGGGGAGTTTTTTTGGGGGCTCAATGAAATGCGGGCATAGACCATATTGATGGCACAGAAACACAAACTAATATTGTCTCCTGTGCTTAGTTTTTTCTTATTAGACAAAGATGTTCATAATAATAACCTATTGACCTTTAAATTAATCTATTCAAACTGTTTTCAAACTTGGCAATAAATCATAATCTATCTAGCGTAACTAATTATACAGTTCAAAATTGTTACTACTCCTCCATAGTTCACTATAAACAACACATCAGTTAATTTACTCACCAAAGAGTAATAAAAACGTATAATGATAAGGATAATAAAAATCATAAATAGCACCGAGTTAATTTACTCACCAAAGGGTAATAAAAACGTATAAGGATAAGGATAATAAAAACCATAAACAAGAGATATTACTAATTAACAATAACACTGAAAAAAACATATTCATTGATATTAAAATAGCACTTTGCCTCTATTGACTGGGAAAAAAATCAGAAGTTCTACAAAAATTTTAAAAATGTAGAATCTTGCATATCAAATACTATTAAAATTTTTAATTATAAATTAGAGTTCTTGAGATTTAGACTATTTCAAAATTTAGTTTTTATTGTGATTCCTATGTAAAAGAATGTGTTATTAGTATGAAAATTTAATAATTAAAAAAAAAACACTTTTCGTCTCGAATAAGGCTTATGCCAAAATTTTTACTATTCAAAGACTGAATTTGATTTTTCCGAACAAGAATAAAATAAAATACTTCGATTACATTTAATATTACCCGATACACATTACTAAGTCCAGCAGAGAAATATATTTTTTTAAATATTCTTAATTACGATTTATATCACATAAGTATTAGTAAAGACTGGTCGCGCAACGCGCGACACCAAAAGACTAGTACTTAAATAAAAGGCACAATAGGCAAGAAATAATGCCCAAAAAATATTCAAGGACCACCGTTGAATCGATCTCGTCAGTCGGATGGGGTTGATATGATGTCAGCGACTTATTAGGGGTAAAACAGGAATTTCATAAATCACTTTCAATAAAAGGCACAGTAGACAAGAAATAATATCCAAAAAAATATTCAAGGACCACCGTCAAATCGATCTCGTCCGTCGGCTGGAATTGATGTGATGTCAGCGACTTATTAAGGGCAAAATGAAAATTCAAAAATTCAATTTATTCCAATTAAAAAAAAACCCGTAACCTTTTGAAAAAAAATAACCCCTAACCTTTAAAAGGACGTCGTTTTAGGATTTAACTTTGGAATCTCCACTCCTGAAAACAATATATTTACAAAACCTGAAAGTTTTTGGTTAAAAAACAGCAACAAAACGACTTCGTTTTGTGGGTTTCTCCAGGGAAAAAAAATAAAAAAACAAAAAATAACTCACACCGTTTAAAATCTCAAAACAGCCCCCATCATTATTCCCAATTTTTTTCCCACTAATAAGGCAGTGCTCTGCCTACTCAGGTCCCCCTTCGTCGATTCAGCCGCCGCTGCCGCTTCCCTCTCCGCATCCTCTGCCACCACTAAATATCGAAGATATATTTTCCTTAAACATGCTTCTCCAATTCGTACCATCCCGATTCCATCTCCACAAATTTAACCAAACAAAAACCCTAAATTCCACCGGAGTCACCCCGTCGAAGAGATTTTGCAAGAATGACTTCCTTCACTTGTACGAGATCAAATTCATGGGGGAGCAACCGCATGTATCGTATCACGGTGGACATCATGACGGAGGAAGCGAGGCAGAGCTAGGTGTTTGGACGGAATAGGATTAGGAAATTACTTTTTTATTTGATTTGGAGTTGTATGTGTAATAGGACTAACAAATTACTGTTTAATTTTTATTTATATATTTCCATAAATTTGGAATTGTAATATGAATAGGCAATTCAGTTCCTCTCTGATTCCGGATTTGTTTTGGGATGAGAATAGAAATCCCCTGTCGGCCAGCATGTCTATAAAAACCCCTAGCAACCTCACAACTAGGATCACAAAAGGCTTCCTTCTTCAGCTTACCGGTTTCTTTGATTTCTTCGTCTTCGATTTAGGTAAATCTTTTTTAACCTTTTAATTTCTATTATATTTTTACCTCTATACGATAGAGGAAGCTTGAATATTTGTAAAGATTTTTCTCTGGTTCTTTTCCAAATCCTAAAACATATACTAATTTTGATTCCCTTATTTTTCCCGGTTTTGAAGTTGTGAATTTGTTGTTAATTGAGCGAGGTTGTTGATAATTTTAATGGTTTGGAAACTAATAGACTGTCTTCCTTTCAACTGAAACCAAAGAGGAACAAGAACATATGAACTCCAATAGCAATAGGGAAGCCAGAAATAGAATTTATTTAGAAAATGAGTACCGCACAAAGTGGCTTCCCTTTTCCCTGGCTCGAGCACTTCATCTCTAGCTCATAAACTCTCTGCAATTCACATCATCACCTAACAGAGAATACATGAATAAAGATGTTAATTAATTCATACAAAGAATTGTTGGAATTTTAGAACCAGCATTGGAAAAAGGGAATTTTTCCTATAGCAAATACTATTTTCAGTAGTAGCTGGTAACGATATTCTTTTCATATTTGGGCAGTGTCATATAGGAAATTTGGGGCTCTTGATTCTCTGACTCCAGAATAAGTGTTGTATTGCAACATGAGTAGAAAAGTGCATGTATGCAACCTATTAATTTGCTTCCTTCCAGGAGGCTTGAAAGTGTAGCTTAACCAACTGAATAAGAAATACTTACTACAGGAAATATTAGGTTATTTCAGTTTCCAAATGGTGGATTTACATCACCTTATTTGCTTGTGAGGAGTACATTTGGTCTTGTCTGTTTTTTCCTTGCACCTATGCATGTAAAGTAGGACTTTCTATTGTAAGTGTGAAAATTAATGAGTTGGAATAACGTTTGCGTGTTCATGCTGTCCTTTTGATAATTGATGACCTTAGATTACAGTTTTAGTTATACGATGCTAGGACAGAACCTAGGAGGCTGAATATGATTGGCTTTATGATCTTACTCGGATATTATTAGATTAGTGAAATACTTTATTTGATTATTACTCGGACAGAAACTAGGATATTATTAGATTAGTAATTGGAACTTTCTGGCTGGAATTCTGCAAAACCATGGAATTTGCGTAACAACAATGATGCTAGAGAAATGGAAAAGTTGGAATCTTCAAAAAAAGCATGTGCAAAATACTTCATTTGATCACAGTTTCTGGAACCGTGGAAATCATTGCTCCCATATGATCAACTCCTTGTGCTACATGTAGAAAAAAAAAAGAAAAAAAAAGTGTTCCATATGCTCCAAATAGTTGGAGGATACGTCGATTGGCTTTAGTTAGCATTGTCAAAGGACTTCTTCATTGTATACTAAGCAGTTCTCAGAACTTACACGCATGTCTTTTTAAATTTCAGATGCAGCAAAAAATTTGTGTTGCATATCGCAGTTTCAGATGCATGTCTGTCTGACAGATGCAGCATTCTGTTTCGAGTGTTGTTTGTTGGATGGAGTTGCTTTGTAATAGGAGAGCTGCGGCAACTAAATTATAAATTCTCTATAATGCAATGATTTTTTTAATTTTTTTTTTTAATTTTTTTGCACTTTTGAATACAGAATTCGCTAGAGTGTAACTTCCTGTTGTTTCCATTGGCCTGAGATCGAGTTTTTGAGCCTTGAAGGAATCAGAATGGCATGTACATGATGGACGACTTTTTGTAATTTTTTCAAGGGCATCCTTTGGAAATGGCTTTTAAGTACAATCCCCAAGTGCAGACCTGTCCAAAATAAATGACAAGACTCTTGCAACTACATGAAGATAAGAAACGAACTGCAAACAAAAAAACATGCGTGGAAATGTTGATAGGGCCAAGAATTTGGACGCGGTGAAATCGGAACTAAGGCTTAGGGAGGGAAAAACTGTGACTGATATTTCATCTTTTTGTTTTGTGTTTGTGTGTGTGTGTGTTTCTTTTTTTTCCTTTTTTTTTTCCCTTTATCTACACCATTTCCCCATGCATTCGTTTGAAGCTTTTCTTCGTTTTTTTTCTATTTTTGTTTACAACATTTTGGCAAATACATTTTGGCAAATGCTTCCTATCACATGCGGACTATCAAATTTGCAAGGAACAACCATAATACTTTAATGTCAAGCTTCTAATTTGTACATGCGTCAAGAAAAAGAAAATTGCAATATTTTTTTCCCTAATTGACTATTCACTTACGCCGGTGGATGGAAACAAATATGATCATTCGGAATCTCTTAAGAACTAAGTTGGGGTAACATATTGCAAATTATTATAATTGTTGCCAACTAAAATACTTAATGAGTAATTGTTGCGCATTCACTTACAAATGTAAATCTGATTTGTAAAAGTGAACCATGCATATTGTATACTAGACAAAATATGGTTTGCATTTAAGGTCTTAATTTCAATAACTACCATTTTGTAGGTTGAAGTTTCAGAGATTAGAATAAATACAAAATACATTTCATTATAAATATTTGTCAATATTGACATCTATATATATTATATTAAAAATACAAATTGATTGTGGAACACATGAATATGGGACCTCTCTAAAATGATCGATTGTAGTTTCAAAGATTTAATATAATTGGTTGTAAGGTTATAATAAAAACTTGCCATAGAACAAGCATTATTAAATTTTAATAATAATCAAATTGACAATTGATTTAGGAAACATAGCAGATCTTAGATTGACAATTACAGAATTAAACCTGCAATATTTACTTATTCTTGCTAATGTCTCTTGATTTTCTTATTCAAGCCAAAACCATCACATATCCTCCACTAAAATAACTTGATTTATGAACTGCCTTATTTTTATTTTCGTTTTCTCCTCTTACAATCGTCCACCGCCAAATGCAAAGATTTCTCTATCTCTCACAATAAATATATCTACCAAAAAAATCTTTTTTAATACACGATTAAATAGCAGAGAGAGTTCACGATAAAAAATCACTTCGTAAATCGAAAAAGTCAATTAAAAAGAATAAAATATCACATTCCTATGCACTATTACGTAACAACAAAAATTCGACCGAATATGAAGTATATAAAAATTCTAAAACCATAAAAAAAAACAATCTATATATGTACTAGTCGCGCAACACGCGACACGTAAAAGACTAGTTGATATTAATCATCGAACAGTTTAATTTTCTTTTTTTTCCTCTACTTTTTAAAATATATGTCTTAGAATTAATCGAACCCGAACCTTGTGATTATTACAATAACGACCCTAAACTTCTAACGATTCCTCCAAAACCACATCCCATATGCATGATTGCTATACTGTATATTTAAATATCTCAAAAGTACTTGATGGTACATACTTTTCTTCTTCAATTATTGGGTTAATATAAAGAACATACGACTTCCTTTCATTTCTTTTTTCTTTTTCTTTTTTTGGTATCTTACGAGTTCCTTTCTTTTAGTACAAAAATATTTTTCGTTGGTCAATATAAAAGCAAACTGACAACTAGATGACAATATTGAAAAGGAATTATCAAAATTATAAAGTGATAATTACAAAACTCTGTACCACAAGATTTCTTTGAAGATTACCCAAAACACATATAAAAGAAAGTACTCGTACAAAAAGGAAAATGAACTGACGGGAAATCCATTATGAAAAACTACACAAGGATGATGAGATCATCCAAATAGGAAAAACCCACCAACGTAATCAAAGAGGTCATTGAATCGATCAACCAACGATCAAATATGATCAAAATGCAAACTCCCACACCATCAAAATATGTTTGGATAATTTTTTTAATATTTTTACTATTGAAAATGTAAAAATGTGTGTTAAAAATGTAAAAAAAATATATCAGGTTAGGATAATTATTAATAAAATAAATTGAAAAAACAATAAAAAGAAAACAAACAGAGCCGGCCAAATTACTCAACTTAATTCCAAATTACTACAAGAACTAATTACTTAACGAGCAGCCTCATTCAATCCTTTGACCCAAAAAAATAATTCTCGTTATAAATGATAATTTTTTTTTTTCCTGGGACGGAAATAGTATCTACTGAGTTCTAGCTAGGTTATAATAAAGTCTATTTTTAGGCTGCGGCTTATAAACTTGATTGAATATGTGAAAGAAATTTCGTGGAAATATAGTTGTCAACGCCTTACACGTTTAAATTTTTTTAGGTAAAAAACGTTACCTTCCATATAGTGATACTGATTTCGTTTTGCCCAAGAGAATTTTGACCTTTTTACATCACTTAATCTCAAATCATAGTCGTATTTTATTTTTTATTTTTTTTGGTTAACAAAATCATAGTCGTATATTTACCCAAAAAATAAAATAAAAATCATAGTCATATGCTTTTTCGGTTGGATAAAATAAGACTTCAATTCCTTTTATTATATTCATATAATCATCTTACTAAAGGTTAAATGATGTGCAGGATCAAACAGTTCACAATAACTCCCGCCCCCTGCGTGATTTATATTTAAACGATAAGAAATTGTCTCACTGTCCAAAGTAAGCTATTTCTACAATTTGAAGACTTATAAGCTCTATAATAAAATTGATCACAGGGGTCACGCATCCAGTATAGAAATGGAGTAAAAAAAAGGGGGGGCAGTTGGAATATAGTAACAAAACAAATTAATACGGAAATGTTCAGATAAGCAGATCATATGAGCAAACCAGCAGAGGAAATATGGTCCTGTTAGGGCTGTCCATGACAAATTAATTAATGCTTACGAGACTAAGCAACGCCATTTCCTTTTTGTTTGAATTATTCGTCCTGGATATGGTTTTCTTACTCATGATCCACAAGTCAACGCAAATGAACCCTGTGGACCTGCATCCACTTTGATTGTTTTCCATAAGCCGGATTAATCATCCATTTTTATTGTCTCCAGTGATTCAAGTGAGCCAAATTAACCTTTTAGTAGCGATCACTAAGAACACAAGTCAGGTAGAAAATAGTAAATTCATTCGAAAATGCATATTATAATACTCCTTTGCAAATAATTCAACTTTAAAATTTAATTTTTGTACGTAAAAAGTGCTTATATCTTTTTTTTTTTTCCATCAAATTTCTCCTCCAAATCAAATGTATAAAAATCGGCATCTCGTTTGTGGCATGCCCAACCATAAGATATTAATCCCTCTAAAAAAAAAAAAAAACCTGTTTATGCTGTTTCAATTGAAAGAAGTATGTTATTTTTGTTAAACAGAAGGATTCTAAAGGTTCATGGTGGGATGGATCCCAAGGGAGTTGTGGCAGTATCATCACAAAGGACCAAAAAGACCAAAAGGGTCAGTGCTCTAATTAGATCATTTTGGGTGAATGTCTTTACTCTCTACCATATTTGGGCCTATTCAAAAAAACCTTATTTGGTTTTCCGTCGCCAAAATATAAGATTATTTGAAGACTTTAAGCATCCTTTGTTCCTTCCTGGAAGCTGCTTAGCCCAGGGCTTGCGGTTTCTATATATAAAGCCTATATATGGAAATATTTCTTCATTTACACAACATATCTGCAGAAGAGCAAATCACTTATAAATTCCTAGCTAAATCACGTTTTACTGCCGTGATACGTTGTATAAAATTAATTGTGGTCATCATATATTATAACCCTTTTAAAGGAAAATCTCAATTTTTTTTTATTTTTTTTATTTTTTTATCTATCATGAGCCACAATCGCCCTCCATTTGATGACATTGAGGCCGGTAACTCACCGGGAAACAACCAAGAAAGGGTTCATGAGATGATGCAGCGTGTGAACCGGCTGTCACGGGAACTCGCAAACTACTTTGGACCGGTTAGTGCTAGTTTGCAAGCTCTCCAAACAGCTGGGAAGGTTAGTTGTTCAACTGTGTACCAAGTTGTTGTCATGGCTATAGTAACCAGCCTTACTTCTGTCTTGATATCTTTAAATCTTCCTCCTAAGTACAAGTCGGCGGCGGTGGTAGCAATGTATGTTGGCGTGCTCTTTGCCTTCATTGGTGTAATGATTGCACTCATTGCCACTCTTCCACTCCTGCTTATGGTTGCTTCTGTTGTGATTTGCTTGGTGGGAGTCGTCACCCTCATTATCGCCTATATATCTTGAATAATTTAGGTTAGTATATATTAATTCCCTTGTGTCTCATGAAATTTATTAACTAAGTCTGATTTTGAAGATTACATTTTAACAATTTCAGGTTACTACTCGTTTGTCATATTTTAATATCCCAATCATTGGCAAAAACAAATCTCGTAGCTAGCTAGCTAGGGCTCCATTTAGGTGCGAGGGAGGGGAGTATTGTTAGTCCAGTTTCAGTACTCTGATGTGATCTTCTGTTTGTTTGCAGATGGTGTTGATGACTCTTGTTGCTGGTAATTGTAGGACGAAATCATTCAAATAAGTTGCAGAAACAAGAGATTGGTGGCTTCTCAAGTTTTTGCCGGTTCAAAAAGTAGAAGAATTTCCAGTAAACTCTTGGAGCCATCATTGTGATTTGCTTGGCTCTATGATAGAAGCTAGTAGGAATGTATATCTTGATCTGGATGATCAGACCTTATGTATCGTATGTATTTGTGGATCTTGTAAAAAGGTTCAGTGTTCTGTTCTGATTGAAAATAGAGACTTCGTTGGAAGGCATGGAGGTCTTGTTCGGGGTATTTGTGAGCTGATCGGCAGGGAGTGGTCTGTGAAGTTATGGCATATTTTTTGAGAATCAAATTTTGCGCCGGATTATATAGCATCCTTAGCTGCTAGCTATCCGGTCGGAGTGCATTGGATTGTTGACCCGCCATCTGGGTTGAAGCCGTGATTGGAGCATGTTGTCGGAGTTTCTTATGTACATAACGTTTTAATTTAAATTTATGTTAGGCATTGGCTTTTTTTTTTACCAAAAAAAAAGAAGAAGATTGCTTTACGTGTAGACGTGCATGATTGGAATTCATTAATTTCCCAGTGAATGTTACACCTCAAAATAACATTTAAATGTTATTCATGTTTTTTTTTTTTTTTTGTTGGTAGACTTTAATTCCACTCCCCATGTTTAACTTGTTCGAGAATTAATTTCAGTTCAATCGATATTTGACGTGAAACTCGTACTCCTTCCGTTACAAAAAAGGAAAAAAAATTGTTTTATTTTTTAATCTAAGATACTCTCTCTGTCATAAAATTATTATGCAGTTTAAGATTTTACTTTTAGTACAATTTGAATTACAAATGAAAAGTAAAACTAAACAATAATTATTGGATGGATGGAGTAGTATTCAGCAACTAAAAATAAAAATTAAAACCAGATATTCATTTGAGGGAAAAAAAAAAAATAGAACTCTAATTTGATGAAACGACCGTGCCCGTCTAGTCGTCTAGAACATCACTGCCATCGATGGCAGTAACAACTGACCAATGACGTTCAGATATGAATGATTCGTTGAATTTAAAAGCAAGCATATACAATTAGTTGTACTAGAATTTCCATTTTTTTATCAAAAATGAAATAAAATACCCATTTTATTTTTTCTGTTAGTTTACTTGTTTAGTAGTAGTTTCCTTTTTTCGACAATAACCCCTTTCATTGTAAAAAATAAAAATAAAAAATAGAATAGACTTATGGGGGGAGGGAAATACTCCTTCGTCATTTGTCGATAAGACTAAAAAACAAATTCCAACCATATATACAGTGTAGTGCTTGAAGAATAAGTTAGTATTTTTTTTTTCTTTCTTTTTTTTTTTTTTGGTTTTTGGTGTAGTGTATAACTAAGTAAAGCAAATATCTTTTGTCGTTGACCAATTGCTTTGAGTCCCCTATCATCTATATAAATAAATACTTCTACAGTGTGGTTTTGCTGACGAAATCAAATAAAGAAAATGGTAAGTGTCCACGTACGCGAGAATGTTGGAACCAAACACCCTGTCGGGCTCGTATTCGATTTCTCAAGATGGAATGATACATATATCATGCAATATTGTACTCCTGAGAGAAACGGACAAAGAATGCTTGATGGATTCGATGAGGTAATTACCGGTGGTGTCTTAATCTAAAGCCATTTGCCGAAGTTGCCTTGTTAGTTTATTAAGAAGAAGAAGGGCAAAAGAAAAAGAAAAGGAGCTCTCTCAGTTAGTAAACTGAGTCAGCATATATAAAGAACAACCTTGGTTCTTCTGTTCCTACTAATCGTAACAGTTCATAATTCAAAACTATCGACATCAGATTTAAATTAATGCTACATACTTCGATTTAAAAAATTATCAAAGATTACCCACTGGTTTTTCCTGTGATGCTATAATGGCGTTTCATGCATGCCACCAACAAAATTTCATTTTCCTTTAGATAAAAACATCGCCAAACGTTCCAAAACTGAGATTATCACAAACCCCAAGACAAAACCTCATCTTTTTTTTTAACGAAATTTTCATTTATTTTGTTGAAAATGGATCAATTGTGTGACCAGCGACAGAGTCAGGATGATAATCTACTGGGGCACATATCTTACATCAAAGCAAGCAAAGAAATATTAACAACACAACCAAAACATGTTTTTCTTTGTCCTATTTCTTTTTCCTCTCTATAAATAATTGTCCTATTTGAAAAAAAAATGATTAATATCGTAAAACAATCATCTCACTGAAAGATATGACATAATTAAAGTTGCTGTTTACATGTTCTTCGAATGAGTTTTCACATCTCGATGTAAAAGATACTCATTCATTAAAGCAAGGGTTATAAGAGAGCAAAAGATTTAAAAGATTTTTTAATGAAGAGAATTTATATAATTTATTATATAATACCGTGTCTAATGTCATTACATTTTGATATAATAATATATTTATAATATAATGTACGCGAAAAATTTTTCATGAAGCATTATATACATCTTGAAATTCTAATTAAAGGGCGTCAAAATTTTAAAGATTCATTTTAGGGGCAAAAAAATGGCTCAATAGTATTATAGATTAAATATAAAGCTTATGAGAATTTTAAACAATGATAAATATAAAAATAACAAGTATAAAAATTACACAAAAATTACAACTTGTGAAAGGCGGCGTTCGAATTTTTTTTTCTTAAAAGGCCAAGTGTGGGACCTGCTTAGAAAAAATTATTGACAAGAACAGAAGAAACTTCCCTTTGATATTTTATATAGTTGATCTGCCTATATATCTAAAACAATTCACCTAATCTAAAAGAAGTTCTATTACACCGTATACGACCATTAAAATAATTATAAGAGAAAAACAAGATTCTAAGATAGATGTCAATCTATAAACTCCATTATAGCAAAAATCATTTTTAACCCAAAATTTCAACTGTCAAATTATCCTTGAATTTCAACCCAAAATTTCAAATGTCAAACTATCAAAAAAAGTTTGTCAAAATTATAAAACCATTATCCAAAATAAAAATAATTTCTTAAACATAAAAAAAATGAAAGTATCAGAATAGTGTCCTTAAAATTCCAAGTGTCATGGTGTCTTTAAAATTTGTCCTAAGAACAAACGTCTTTGGGGAAAAAAAACTACTCATCAATATCTCCCCTAAATTTTAGACATGCAAAACCAAAACCACTTCGTTTAGTAACTCTTCATATTTTTTCAAAAAAAAAAAAAAAACATCAATCTTCCCATGTCTCAAATTCAAATTCTTCATTCATTTATCTTAAAATCCCAGCAAATTAAATCTATTTGCTTTGACTTTTTGAATTGGATTTATTTTTTTTCTCAAACAATCTTTGTTTTGAGTTTAAGTTCTAAAACATAGTTGCAAAGTTTCTCATTATGTAAATACGTTATGGTTTACCCGTTCATTCTTCTTCTTCGATTGGTTGGAAGTAGCGACCTTGGACAACAATCAGCATCAACGAGGTTAGTTCCATTTAATTTTCTTTTCTTTTTGTGGTTCTTTGTATTAAGATTTTTTTAGTGTAACATCTAATATTTTAGTTGTTCCGAAAGAAAATCTAAGTCCAACCGTTCTCTTCAATTCAGATCTAACTGATATGGATAATCAGCGATGGCACTGACCTGGTACCTGTACTATAGCATAACGGAGAGACGTCATAAACTTTGGCAAAACAAATTCAATTCCTTTGCTGGAACAAAATTTGTAAGGTCCTGAATTGTTGGAGAAGACAAATCCAACAATAGCTATGGAAAAAATTGATAGATTCTATCAACCTTATCAAGGTACAAAAAGAAAACTTCTCTTAATAATTTATCGTTCCTTGAATAGTACTGTTTGTGATGTTTTTGTTTCCGGATCTTTTTCAAAATTACCATGAATTAATTAATCTGATTCTTAGGGAAAGAAGTTGTGATTTTTTTTTTTTTTGGTAACTTGCCGTGATTTTTTCTTATGTTGGATCCATTTTTATTCTTTTTTGGAGTATCAATTCATGGTTTTCCTTTGTACAGGTTGCTGTGAATTAAGCTTCTGCAATGGAAGATGTTGTGAGTTTTGATTTTCGTCCTTTAGTGCTTCCACTCCTTCGAGGTTTTACTTCAAAAGTAGAATAATTAATGGGAGATAATAATTTCAAGACCCTAAAGCCTACCTCAAAAACGATGCAAATTGGTTGTATCTGAAGGCTGTTTTTGTTCAGGGGATATTCGGAAGTTAAGAAGAAAATTTCATGGCAATTCCATTTTTGGAGAGGAGCAAAAATAACTCCTTAATGCCTGGATGAACTTGGGACAATTGAAACTCTGAAATACCTGGATGAATCATCAAGATAGTTTATCACATTAAAGAGAATCTTTTAGGTTGTTTGGCAAGTTTTCCAATGATGCTGCATGAGTCTTGGAGAGAGAAATTTTATTACACTTCTTTTTTTCCCTTCTGGTGTCTTATAGAACTCATGACAACAATATTTAACATAAATATTATGTACAGTTCTTGCTCCGTTTCCATGATAATAATTTTATAAATCAAGAAAGTGCTAATTTTCTTTTATGAATTGGAGATTAATGTCCTTTTTTCTAAAATTGAATTTGTCTATTCTAATTATGTGAATTATTTTAAAATTTTTGGTCAAACCTGTGCGAATGCACGGGTCCAGAATCTACTTTTAAGTTACGTAAATTTATTTTGGAGGGAAATGTCCCGTGGAGCTGGAAGAAAACGTCCTACTTTGGCTACTGGAGATAACTTGTATAAATACAGGATTATTTGGTCCTATTTTGGCTTGGGGTTAATGTATCAGGATTCAGGAGTAAAATTTTATTAGATATATAGTAATTGAATACATATACCTAGAAGGCTAGAAAAATAAAATGGAATTCACATGTTTCGCTGTAATTTCACCCTTGCCTGCTATTAAGTATTAACAATGCGAAAAAGGCAGTTTGAAACACAATTTACAACATATGGCAATTGTATTGTTGTATTCCTGTGGTAACCAAATCAATGGAACATAGTGAAAAGATAAATGTCAACAATTTGAGCAACGAAGCTGAGTTAAGAGAACATTAATTATTGTCCGTTTGTGAACGTGTGGTAGAAAACGAATTAAGAATCATTCAAACATTTTATAATTAAGTAAAAGCATTGTGACTTTTAAGAAATTTATAATATATTTTCTACTCAACGGCTAAAATGGCCCAACAGCTGAAATGGCCGAATTAATTCATGGTTAGAATCATTCAAACATTTTATAATTAAGTAAAAGCATTGTGACTTTTAAGAAATTTATAATATATTTTCTACTCAACAGCTAAAATGGCCCAACAGCTAAAATGGCCCAACAGTAAAAGCATTTTTTTTTATACAATTTTTATTAGCACTTATTCTATTACATGTGTGAGTATGAGAGAGAGCGACCTACTACTAGTCTAGTCTAGTGGGGAACAACTCCACACCTGCAACGCCTCTTTTCGTGCGTTCATCGCATGTTTGAAAAATTTCCAACTCCAACTTAAAAAAAGGCAGCATTTTGCTAACCTAAACATAATGGTCCACTTCCTGTTTCTCTCTCAAATTTCGTAATATTAAGCCGCGGCTGACAAAAAACAAAGACTAAAAGAATTTGGTTTTGGAAACAAAAGCACTAGAATGATCAATATTTTGCCTCCGTGTTAAAAGAATTTTACATTCTTATTACAAATCTGTTTTCTTTTTTTTTTCTTTCAAGATTTGGATACTTTGAATTATTTTGAGCAAATACATCCGAACTTCGTCCAATTTCACTTTTCTGGTTTGGCTTACATTGATAAGCAAATATTGACTACATGATGAACATGACAATATCTAAATTTTACGAAGTTTGAAAGGTGAAGCCTGAAAATAATTGAATAATCATGTACGGAAAAGAAAGGAGCCAGTCGGCCAAAATCGACAACAAAAGTGTATTTAAAAGATGAAAAGTGTCTCGACTTTATATGCACCATTTTAATTAAATTACATAGTTTTATATAGGCAAGGTCAAAATAACGGGTTTTCGAGTTGACGAATTCGGTTATTCGGATCATTGAGTAAGAAACAAGTAAACCCAAACTTAAGCACAATTTCATCTGACAAACAACCCGAATAAGTACTTGTTCGGTTATTCGGGTTATCAGGAATACTTATACTTGTTTTAAGTCGAGGGATTGGAAAGGTGGACAAAGATGATGATGAAGAATCCCAAGACGCAAGCTCCAATAGAAGTAACCATAAATGGGATGCTCATACCGGAAACAAGTGCCAACATAAAAGCCATGAAACCAAATAGCACACCAGCATGCATTGCTACAACTGACCATCTCTTGTGGGCTGGAAAAAGATACCCAGACACCAAGAAAGCAGTTGAGGAGAACACTACTGCGGCATTCACCCACTGGGTCAGTGTAGATAGTGGCCGTTTAGCTTGGAGAGCTTGTGAAGTAGCACTCCCTGCGGCAAAACAAGCTCCCATTATCAGTATCAGCCATTTATTCGAGTCCACCGCCGTCACACCGGAAGCAACGGAAGACAAGGGTAATGGTTGAGAAGGGTTGTTGTTAGGCCTCCAACCAACAGATATCGTGAGACTTTCCTTTGCTTGGTTGATGATATTTAGGAAGAAGATGAGAAAAAGTTTGAACTTTTCCCTGGCTTTGTTGATGATGTTACGGAAAAGGTTGCAGTTTTGGTTCGCCATTACTTTGTATATTCAGCTGGGGGGTGTTGGGAGCCTGGTGTGATTGTACGAGGGAGGGAAAGAAAGGCACGATAAGAAGAAAAGTCCGAATAGAGAAGGTAGCAATGATCAGCCTTTTACAGCGCTCAAAACATCTGCTGCTGCTTAAATATGCAAAAAAATAATTGCACTACTCCAATTGAAGACATGAATGAAGACAAAAACAGTTCACGCGCGCTTTGCCCAAATTCTTAGTGATACCATTTTTTTTTAATGGGTTGAAGAACAAGAGTTCACTTCACTTTCTGTTATATATTCATATAATATTCAATATTTTTCTTATTAAATAATAAGATGTGGAATCTCTTCCGTTGTTAAAAAAAAAAAAAAGAGATATTATTGGCGGTTGTATTAATTTGGTTTTTAAAACATTCGCCTATGTACTCAAAAAAAGACATCATCTGCAATCCATTTGCATGAATCGTAAGACATTGTATCATTGTCCTACATATGCTACTTCTTTTTATTAAAAAAAATACATAAATAAAAATTAAGATTTATAAACTGCACACAGGAGCCATCGAGTATAGAGAGAGGAAAAGGGGAATTAAAAAAAGAACACTAAAATGCAGTTGGGATATACAAAGAGAATTCAGCAAAGATATGATAATAACAAGTTACAATATACACGAAACTGAGATGCTCAGATAATTAAGTAATTAAATACCTCTCATCACTGAATTTTGTAAATGCCAAGCATTATAATTGTTCGTATAAGCAAACTAGTAAGAGAATATGATGATCTCTTCCTTGTTTTGTGTTTCATGTCACCGAGTCTTGACATGTTGGATTTTTACTTACTTGACATTTTAAAAAAATATTTTTAGTTTTTCTCTCGAATTTTTCTCTTATTATAATACTATAAATTACTCATATTGTAAAACATTGACGAGATTTACATAAAAAAAAAAAATTTAACAGGATTATTATTTTATCAACAGTTTTCATTATTCGTATCCAAATTTGGACAGGATATAATAATTATAAATTATCTAAAATAATAAATTTAATTAATATTAATCTAGCGATATTTTATTGTAGTATATTTAGAGAAGAAAAGCTAATCTGACGACTAGTTGATGACGACTGTAGGATGACGTCACTATGTTAACCTATGACATCACAAGCATCACTCTGATTATTTTTTGAAGGTCAAAGTTGTTCATGCGTACATTTTTGTTTCGGAGCCCATCAGATTGCATTTTTATTCGGAACTACATTATTATTGTTTTATTAAGTTTTAGCGTAAAATTTTTCGTGCTTGCAAATTTCATGAATATTTACAAATAACTTAGTTATTATTATTATATTATAATTTTCTGAATCTCGTTAGTAAGAAGAATTAAGTTGAACGTTTCTTTAATAATAAGGAACTCCTGGAGCTTAGTAGTATGTCACGGATTAAAAATATAAAAATTGTAAAAGAGATATGCTGGAGAGTAGAAAAATAGTGCGTCTTGATCATTATTTAGAGATATTTGTTTCTTTCCTAATCGTATCATTTAGGCTATCACATCACAAAACCTAATTCATCTCAAACTAATTTATTTTACCCGTGCACCTCATCTCATATATCAATAATTTATTGAATAATGTATTTTCTACACTTGGTGTAACACTTGCTACTCTTCTTCTTCTTTTTATTATACCTAAATAACTCTATGGATATTATATTTGTCATCAATATTCATCCCACTGACAATTATCTGCATCACTATTTTTTTTTATCCCTAAGGTTTTACTTTTTGGGGGATTATGTTCTATTTGCTTAAATTTTTTTAAAATATTTAAAAAACTCTTTAAATCTACCAAAAAAAAAAATTTATATTTAACCTATTAAAATTTTACCAATAATTAAATGTTACATCTGATGAGATACAATAGTGAAATAAATAAGATGAGATGTTAGAATTTAGATCGATGTGTATCATACTCCCTTTGGAATACAATTAGATATTAGCTCTTACCTCTATTTTAAGGTTTCATCAGTACAGTTCCACAAATACTAATTTTCGAATGAACTAGGTTGTGAACAAATTAAAGCGGCAAGAAATTAAAAGGCGCCAAAACTGTCAGAATGAGGTTCCGTTTTTGTAGACTCTCTACCCTCGAGTTCAGAAGCAGTTGACGTTAACGTTGATGGGCTTCTGTTCCACCAAATTACTAGATTGAATTTTGCCTTGACCATGTTGATGATGCTTAGCAACACGTTCAGGATGGGGTAGCATTTGGAAAAGTCTGTTGGGTTTACCAAGGAATGTCTAGTCACAGCATAGTGAAACATTTGGTATCTGGGATCGGGATTGGGTAGCATTTGGAAAAGTCTGTCGGGTTTACCAAGGAATGTCTAGTCACAGCATAGTGAAACATTTGGTATCTGGGATCGGAGATGTGGAAGAATTTTCTATTGAATTTTGGCCATCAACACAATCACCGCTATTGTCAATTGGGGGTGGCGCGGGGCCCTGAAAAGATGCGGACGATGAGAAGCAACACAGGTATTGCCCTGAAGAGATTCGGTCCGATTCACGTGAGAACGGACAATTATTAATTTTTATTTTATATTAGTTTATTCGCAGTATCGTTACATGTTGAATACCTCGTACTTTAAATATTATTAAAAATATTTATCTTTAGTGCTTAAACTCTCGATTTTATATTTACTTGAAATAAACAAGTAATTAATTTTTAATTGAAAATAAATTTAAGATTATTTGTTAAGTTAATTTATTTAAATTGATATTAAAATATAAATTTTGCTTTAATCATTATTTTAAAGATAACTTTTAGTTAAAATAATAATTATACATTTATAATGAAAAATAATAATTGTACTACAAAGATTGTGACAAATATGTGAAAATAGATCAACTATTTTTTGTACTACAAAGATTGGTAATACTTAATGTAACTCAAATAATAAATTATTAATAAATTTAATGACCTAAAAACTAGATTAACTAATTACAACAAAAAATCTAAAAATTTAAAAAATAAAAATAAATCCGATTCATATTTTTTAATTTTTAGACTTTTTTAAATAAAAAATATTGTTATTTTTTAATTACAAAAAAATTTAAAAAAAAAACAAAAATTTAAAAATTAAAAAAGGGCCTGATCGGTCCGGTTCATCATATCAGACCGAACCGAGACCGGCCGAGCAATTCACTTTTCCCGGGTTAACCCGGGACGGGTGGACCGCCCGGTCGGTCAATTTTTATTTTATTTTTTTAAATTTTTAATTTTTTTAATTTTCTTTCCAGTCAAATTATTTGATTTGAAAAAATTATAGGGGTAAAATGGTTCAATTTTAAAATATGTGGCTTCAAGTAGTAAATGTGGTGGCATTGAAAATAAACACCCTAATTTTGAAGCAAATAACCGATTTGTGAACAAAAGCGGTGAAATTAGTTGTGGACAGCTGGATATAATTATTGGCAAAAGAAAGAGACTTCCAGAAGTAGAGAGGACGGATGCACAAAATTGGAAGGCAAGTAAAATCACGTGTTCTCTGTCCAAATACAGCTCAGGGCCCAAATAAGAAAGAGGAGGAAAATAATTAAAATGGGCCAGTCCGGCAAAAGAAAATTATGTGGTTTACTAAAACCTAATAATGATGGCCCAGGTATGGCCTTTAGTAGAGCGGGGCAGGAGAAACGACCCAAGTTGAAGGAGACCATTTGTGATGGAGTCTTGGCATCCGCTGCTATGGATCAATTGAAAATTGAAAGAAAGCGGGACTCTGTGGAAATTGAGGGGTGTCAGCAACAGGGACACAAAGGAACGACAAGGTCTTATTCCAAAGAAAAAATGGAAAAATCTCAATGACGAGATTGAAGCAATGATGCCACTACAACAAAAGAATGGAAAAAAGCAGCATTTTAACTGGAAAGATGCAAATTGAAGATAAAATATACAACTCTCAACATGCCAATCAAAGGAAACGAGGATGTGAAGCTATGAATGTTGACAGTGACCTTGACCAGGAGAAACGCGACGAGAAGAATCCGAAGAGAGGTAAGTTTGCTAATTATGTATTTGCATCCGAAAGTAAATTTGGATATGTGACATGCCTTGAGAAAAATTTGTTAGAATGTTGGTGGGTACAGTCAAAGGAGCCCCTAAAATTGGTATGTAATCATGTGGAAGGTTTTTCGGTGGTTGAACCAAATAAACCACCCAAGAAGCCATGACGATCGTATTTTGGAACTACAGGGGTCTAAAGAGGTCGCCTGCAGCACAAGCTCTTAAAAGTCTGTGTCGGGTGAATAAACCTAATATTTTATTTTTACAAGAATCGATGGTTAGTAGGGCAGATATAGTTAAATGGTTAGATAGTACGAGTTTTACCAATTTCATCTATGAGTCTTCAACTACTATGGTGGGCAGAATAGGTTTGTTTTGGACTGATGCTGTAGATACGGAAATATTGTCCTTTTATTTTTGTAATAGTTTCCAGGATCAGGGAGCAGGATGACTCTGTTTGGGGCGCCTTTTTTGTGTATAGCCATCCACAGGTTGACAAACACAGCGAAGTATGGAATGAAATCACAAATATCCTTTTGCTGCACTCTCTGCCTTGGATTATACTTGGGGATTTAAACTAGATTGTTTCTCCATTAGACAAGAAAGGAGGCCAGCATTTCAATGAAAACAGGGCTGAACCTTTGCAAGATCTTCTTGCTGAATTCAATTTTTTTGAAATACCATTTACAGGAAACACCTTTACTTGGTGCACTAATAGGAAGGGTAGCAATCGAATAGCTGAAAGACTGGATTGTGCTTTTGCTAGTCCCGGTTGGATCTCAAGTTTCTCACAGGCACTTGCCTGTGGGAAACTTGAGATCCAACCGGGATCATGGTCCCATGACTATAGTAACACTTGTTTTTAATATGCCTGCAGTAACCTCTGATCATGGTCCCATGACTGTGCACAAACGGGCAAAGCAGAGATGGAGTAATAATCCCCCAAAATGTGAATCGTACTGGACAAAAACACAGGCTGCAAAGGATATTATTAACAAAGTATGGCAGGAAGTTAGTGTTTCCCAGGAAAATAATTTTGAATCTCTAACGGAAGTCTTATACAGAAGCCTAACTCACTTGGCAAATTGGAACAAACAGTCTTTTGGGGCTTTAGAAGGGGAAATCAAATGACTAGAAAGGAAGTTGGGATTGCTCCAACAACAAGATGGGGTAATACAGAATGAAAAGGTGATCAACACAACTAAAGATCTGTTAGAAAATCTCCTTCAGCACTAAGCTGAGTACTGGAAGCAGAGATCAAAGGTAAAATGGAACTTAAGAGGGTAAGTTAAATACCACATTCTTTCACTCTTGAGCGACAAAGCGAAGGAGTGGAAGTTGGATTACAGCTCTGAAATATCATCATGGAAATTGGTGCTACTCAGAGGAACAAATACAACACTTAATGCTTCAACATTTCAAGAGTATTTTTGTGTCCGAGGACAATGACCACAATGATGACACTTCCGTCTCCAATCGGACACCAATTGAAGATCTTAGAACAAAACAAATATCTCCCCAGCAACAGGAGGCACTCGCCAGGGACTTCACTGAGAGTGAAGTTTGGGAAGAAATACAGAGCATGAATCCTTGGAAAGCGCTTGGCCCAACCGAAATCCCTGCGGGCTTTTACAACAATTCAAGAACATTGTAGGAAAAAGAACCACAGAGGTGGTACTTCGTATCCTAGAATGTGATTTTCATCCCAAAAAAGGGAATCCCCCATCCCCAGCTGACTTCCGCCCAATCAATTTATGTAACGTAAATTACAAGATTGTAGCGAAGGTCATAGCCAATAGAATTAAAAGAGTACTTGGAGATGTCATCTCAGAAGCTCAGAACGGTTTTGTTCATGGGAGATATATTGGTGAAAATATTCTTCTCGCCCATAAAGTCACTAAGAGTATCAGGAAATGGAAGGACGGTGAAATAGGGTATGCAGCAATAAAATTGGACATGAGCAAGGCATACGACCGCGTGTCAAGGCAATTTTTGAAAAATATAATGTCTAGACTGGGCTTCCCGGACTCGCTAATACACACAATCATGAAGTGTCTCTCCACGGTAACCTACTCAATATCTTTCAATGGATGAAGATCTGAGGCCTTCGCTCCAAGAAGAGGTCTTTGGCAGGGTTGTCCACTATCGCCATACCTTTATATCATCTGTCAGCAGGCATTTTCCTTGGCCATTCAGAACCTAGAGATAGAGCACCCCCAATTTGGAAATAAAATTGTTAGGTCGGCTCCACGAATCTCTCACTTAATGTATGCTGACGGCTGCTTGATTTTCATGGAATGCAGGGATACAAACATCAGGGCCTTTGGACAAATACTTCATCAGTACACACAGGCATCGGGACAAAGAGTCAATTTTGACAAATCAACATTGCTCGCAAGCCCAAATACCAAGAATCAAGACTAGGAAACAATGGAGAGGTGGCTTGGATTCAAGAGTAAGTCTACTCCAGGGAAATATCTAGGCCTCTCGCTAGACTTTATGCAGAAAAAGAGGATCCTTTTCAGTAGCATCACAAGCAGAATTAATGGCAAACTCTTCGACCGCAAAAACAATTCCCTCTCCACTATGGGCCGTATAACTCTAGCTAAATATTGTTTGGCTTCGCTCCCAGTCTACATGATGGGGGCTTTCAAACTCCCCCAATCTGTGACATCTCAGATAGACAGCGCTATAGCAAGGTTTATATGGAGAGGAGATAAAGAAGGGAGGGGAATATAGAAGGGAGGGGAATACACTGGAGATCCTGGACTCATTTATGCAAATCAAAGTCCAGGGCTGGTTTAGGTTTTCGATCGGCTGCTGAAATGAACCAAGCATTGTTAGCTAAACTGGCTTGGAGGATACATGCAAATCCTACTTCCCTTTTTGCTAGAATTTTTCCGTCAAAGTATGAGAAAGGCTAGAATATCATGAATTGCGCAATGCCTCGAAGTGCATCATGGGGATGACGCAGCATAATGTGGGGTAGGAAATTACTGCTGAAATGTCTAAAGTGGAGGGTCATCAATGGTAAAGACATCAAAATTAAGGAAGATTGGATCCCAGACTGCCACAACCCGCTCCTCAACAACCCCCCTCTTCATGATCTTCTGAATTTTAGAGTACGAGATCTACTGGATGATGCAGGAAAGTGGAACCAACAACTATTGAGAGTCCTATTTCCGGCAGAGAGGATGGAATGCATTTTAGACATTTATATCCCGCAAAATTTTGACCAAAAATGGGACAAGCAAATTTGAAAACTCACATCCACAGGTGAATATACTGTTAAAAGTGGTTACCATGTTGCAACAAACATTGGGGTTGACTCGGCAGGCATCACATCCACGTCCAGAGCTACAAACCTCGCTGAACGAGCATGGAAAAAATTCTAGAAGATCAAGCTCCCGGCTAAAATTCGGTGGCTTATTTGGAAGGTGGCAAATAACGCCTTGCCTACTTTGCAAGCTCTGGAAAGGATAAATGAAAGACATCAACTCGAATGCTCTAGATGTGGTCATTGGAACGAGGATGTGGAGCATGCGTTCTTGGAATGCCAAAAATCGAAGAGGGTTTGGAGGGCGTCCAGCCTAGGTTTCAATTTTGACAGTGGCGAACCCACAAGCTTCTGTGGTTGGCTAAATGACTGGATATTGGAAGCACCGAGTGAAGACATAATCCACCACTCCTTTTACATGCTTTGGGCCATCTGGTTAATGAGAAACAAGGCAGTCTGGGAAGGGCAACAACAAGACCCTTATGTGGTACAAATATGGGGTACAAAGGAATTCCAATTTTTTCAGACGCATACACAACTGAGGCATCTCGAACAGAGCCCAGACACTAGACCTATTGAGAAGATAACAATACAATTCCCACAACAAGGTGCTATCATACGAGTTGATGGAGTCTTTAAGCAGGATAGGCATAAAGGAGCTGCAGCATGGGAGATTCTTATAAACTCATATCATCATCTAAGATCAGAAAGTGAAACCTTTTATGCCTCCTCAGCCTTGCACGCTGAAGCTTTGGCTTGCCTTAGAGGATTTCAATCAACGCAGGCAATGGGAATACATGAAGGAGTGCTACAAATAGATAGTGCTATAGTGGCTGCATTAGCCAATGGTAGACCATTACCTCAACCCTTAGTTGAACTAGGGCAAGATATCCAGAGTCTTATCTATCCCTCCACAAACCTGCATTTGTGTAAAGTAGAAAGGGAGTTAGTAGAGAATGCGCATAAAATGGCTAGGGCTCACCTGTAGGTACACACATCTTTGTAATTTAGATCGATGATCAATATATATTATCATATTTTTTTATTAAAAAAAAAAGCAGCACATATTAGCCATTTTTTCGAAGTACTTTTGTTAAGGCCTTAATTAAGGCATTTTCTCTTTTCTTCATTCTCTAGAGGATTTACACATACATTCCCCGAATAGAAATTTCGTCGAAATTTATCTGACGCCAGCAAGCTCAATTGCTACCAATTTAATTTTAAGCGAAAGAAGTTAGTTAGGGGTGTTCAAAAAAATCGACACCGATTAACCGAACCGAAAACGATATAAAACCGAGCCGATTAAACGAACTATCGGTTAATCGGTTAATAGGTCAGGTTAAAAGTTTTTTAATCGGTTAATTGGTTCGGTTTTCAGTTTTACTTATACCGTTATCGGTTAAACCGAATAACCGATTATAGTAAATAAAATTTATAAATCTAGAGAAATTTTTTATGTCTCATATTTTTATATATTAATCTTTTTCATTTTGTTAAATTATTTTACTAAAAAGTTATGTTGTAGTAACATGCTTTTTGATTGAATAGATTATTATAAAAAAAAAGAAAGATTTTGATTGTTTTTATTGTAAATTGAGAGTTTAAACAAGAGTTTGATTATTTGATGAGTCTAAAATATGATATGAATTATATAAATTAGTAGAAAAAAATTTAAAAGTTTAGCTAAACATCAATTATATTCTATTCGGATAAATATGACAAATAGCACGGTTAAACCGATAGCAACCGGTTATTAAACCGATAAATTGAAATCGTAAAACTGATTATTTAATCGATTGGTTAATCGATTTTATTTAAAATTGACAAAACCGAAATCAACCGAAATTGATTAACCGGTCGGTTGAACACCCTGTGTACTAATATTATAAAAAAGAAAGAAGTCTACCTCGAGAATTTAATGATTGATTGATGGCTACCTTGATTGATTGCCGACGTACAAGCACTAAATTTACTGAACACTTAATCTACTAGTTACGGTCCAAAAGACGTTCACCAGGCTACCATTATTATAGACATAAGATGGGAAAATTTAGATTAAAAAAAACTCCTCCGTCACAAAATCATGGTTATAAATTTTTTTCAACATCTATTAGTCTATGACCTTATCATTTGTTGAAGAAACACGAATTCTAGTATCAAAAGAGTTCGGATCAATCCACGGGTATACGTAACAAACATCCATTTGTTTAATATTCCTTTGTCTAAAATGATTGTTCAACTTGAGTTTTGCAAACTAGATAATTATGTAGAACCGAATGAGTATAAGTTTTTTCTTTCTTTTTTTTTTTCCCTCAAAAGCCCAGAAACATCTGCAGACGACGTTGTATATTTTGACTCCACAGAGGGAATGCATAGATGCACTTAGTGATACGACAGAGTAATTGTAATTGTGATTGTGACTATCAAAATAGGATAGTTCACTACTTTTGGATTGGATCCAATCAGCAACTAACTCTTTAACCGCTTGTCAGCTGCATTTGTTGTCCTTTTAGCCTTTGTTTTCAAAACCGGACCACCAAGGCGGTCTAATCGGTTAGCCCGGAACCAGAAACTTCACTGGTCCGATTTTTATAAAAAAAAACGGATTTTATATAATCCGGTCAAACTCGGTCAAACCATAGTAAAACCGCGGTTTAACCGAAAAACGATACCGGTTGAACCAATTTTTGCATATATTTCTTAAAAATTTAATTTTTAAATATTTTTTTAATATTATTTTAATCATTTTTGCCGATTTCGAGAAACAAACTACCCGTTAACCCGATAAAACCCACTAACCCGGTCACACTAACGGTTCACATTCCGGTCCGGTTTTGAAAACATAGCTTTTAGCCATTCGTTTCTTCCTCGAAGAAATGTTTTTGTCATCAAGTAAATAATCTCAATGAAACAACATTTACTACTAGTTCGGCCAAAGATGTAAAATAAATTCTCTTGTAGAGATGCACCCTGATGACCGTACTGCGGCACTTTTGGATGTAAAAAATGATAGATTTTCACCACACAAATCACGATACACAATCAAGGTTGCGAAGCCAATTTGGAGCCCTTAATTATCAGGTTGAAGCTTATTCTATTGCCTTGCAATATTTAACGCAATATGTGCTTCCAGATGTAAAAGAAGAATTTGTAAGGATCAGGAGAAAACTAGTTTATCAAAATCAAAGCGGGAAAACTATCTATGAGTAGGCACACCTCTCTTCTTATCTCATACACAGGACAAGGGAACCCAGTTTCCAGGAAACAAACCACCACCACGAGAATGACACTCAACGATAGAGGCTTTCAGATCTCAGATTCTCAGCAATCTCAGTTTCCCATCGGTCTCCATTCTCTAGCAACTTTTCCTTGTCGTACAGAAGTTCCTATAACAAGGAAGATGTTAGTGTTGGCACTTTCTGAATTGATGTCTCAACTCAAAATAAGTTCGATTTCTGAATTAATGTCTCAACTCCAAATAAGTCAGAAAACTAACCTCATGAGTCTCAGTAGCAAACTCAAAATTAGGCCCTTCAACAATGGCATCGACAGGACAAGCTTCTTGGCAGAAACCACAGTAGATGCACTTCGTCATGTCAATGTCATACCTAGTAGTTCGACGACTCCCATCTTCTCGCTCTTCTGCTTCGATAGTTATGGCTTGAGCAGGGCAAATCTATCACAGAAAATGAATGTAAAATATCAATCATCTGAGCAAATGCACAGTTGCAATGTAAATCAAAGAACAAAATCAGCAAACAATAGCAAAGTTTATTTGGAATCATTTCCATATATAAACCATAATCATGCTACTAAGAGGGAAGTCAAATAGAAATCTAAAGATAATTCTGAGCTTCAACGGTGGAATGGCAAAGTCGGGTTCCAGTAACAAGCCAAATTTAAAGAATACTGTAGGATAATACAAACCCAGATTATTCTCAACAGATATGATGGACTCTTTGCTAAGGCAAGGATATCAATGCATATTTGACAGCAATGTGTATAAATTTGTCCAAAGACAAACCCAACAAAGTCTCCAAAATCAGGGTTGGAAATAAACTACGACAAGTAGAAACTAACAGTTTCCAACAAGATTATTGATCTACCAAACACCAAAAATCATACAGCACAATGAAGAAGAACACCAAAAAAAAAAAATCATCATGCAAGAGAGACAAAGAAAGAATGGACTCACAGCTTCACAAAGTTTACAGGCAATGCAACGTTCTTCCCCAGTTGGATATCTTCGGAGAGCATGTTCCCCACGGAATCGAGGACTCAACGGACCCTTCTCAAATGGATAATTGATCTGCCAAAAAAACGAAAACAGAAAAACAGAATTTACACCCAAACCATTAAAGATAAAAGAAAATGACCAAGCGATTTTAGAGAAAATTCATGTCCCACAAATCATGCCTCCCATCAGGAGGATTGTTATAGCGAAACTTGACTCCTGTAAGAAGTGGATATTACCATAATCACAAAGTGATGGGTACTGCCGTACTGCCTACGGCTTAAGTAGTATGCTGACCTCATATGTTACCTTCAATAGTCAGAGAGATGTGGGGAGGGAGAAAGGGTGGTTTGAAGAACATTTTGAACGATTTCTTACTCAATCCATTTCAATTTTTTCTGTTACATATATATGATTATCCTTGATTATGGAGAAGAAGTGCATGCAGGCTAAATACAGTGAGAAAAGATGAACAAGAAAATACTTACAGTAACTTTCTTCTCAAAGAAGTACTTAAGAGTCAGCGACAGACCCCGGACCATTTCAGTCAGAAATAATGTGTTGATGCTCCTTTCAAATACTGCAGAAGATTATGCATAAGATAAGCACATCATAACCAAACACGAAATGACAGGTCACCCCAAACTTTACCTGAATTCCAATCCTTGGATATTTCTCTAGCAAGCTTCTCTCTCTCTTCATCATCTGCAATTTCAGCCATGCAAAAGTATTCAAAACTACAGAACCAGGAGGCATAATAGAGAAAATATTAACTAACAATGATATACCAAGGAAAATAACGAAAAAGAAGGAACTGCAATTACTTGCACAACTAAATTTCACAGGTTAGAGAGAGAGGTTGTTAGATCAATCAAATGCAACAGCTAAATAGCTTTACTGAGAAATTTCATCAATCAAACCCTAAAAGTATTTAAAAGCTACTAATGTAGCTTCTTCATAACTACATTTTTCTTACTTTCATTTTGAGTGATTAATTAAGGAGAATGGAACCCATTCATGAGAATCCACACAACAAATTCAGAAAAATGAATTTTGAGTAGAAAAACCCTTCATATGCACCCAATCCTGTAAGTTTCAGCAATAAGCTTACTGTAATAAACAGAGATTTTCCTACTGCAATAATAAGATCAAGGTGTAACAAAAGTCAAAGAAAACTCGAAATCAAAATCTTTGGTTGCTGTTATTCGATGTGATTAACACTGGAAACCATCGCAACTTGTGTGCGAGTTTTAATTCTTGTAAACTGACTAAAATTGGCAGGAACGACCTCAATGAAGTCCATAATTTAGCATATAGTAAGATGAGTTGTAATATAAACAGGTACTTTTCCTCAAAAGAACACTGGAAACCATATCTATCTTAGTTCTTAGCTAAAGACAACTTAAATTGGGAAATACAAGCATAGTAATCCATCAGCTTGCAAGCAACCTACTCCCGGAGTGGCTCATTGAATCATGCCATCAAGATGTCCTAGAATATCACATTTGGTGAAATGAAAACACATACTCACTCTATACTTAATCACAAACACCGTGCGCATATGAAAGACATAGTGATACAGCAGCAGAATACCTTTGTCCGTTGAAAATGAGTGCTTGGTGGCAAATGAGCGAGACCCAATACCGTACCGATTCGGGTCCTGCCAAGCTTGTCCAGCAGCAGCCTGCCAATTATTCAACCCAAAAACTCATCTTTAAATCAAAATCATCTCTCACATAAACCGCAAATCCGAAAATGATCGAGAAACAAAATCCCAATCACATTTGATCCCCAGATTTTGCCCAAATGGATATCGGAATCTAACATTTGGTAAATGGGGAATTTAACCAAGTTTAAAATACACAAGAAATCATATCCTTAAAAAACAACAATCATTTTGAATTGGAAATGTTTTAGGGTTTCAAGAGGTTCAGGAATAATCATCAATTTTCAAATTAAATGAGGAACCAAAAAGCCAATCTAAAAATTGCAATCGAGAAGCTTACGAGCTGACGAGAACGAAAAGCGCCGACGGATTTGCGAGCTAAAGTAGAGGCCATGGCCGATGTGGAGTGGCGCGTGGTGAATCGATTGTTAGCTTTGGAGAATGAGCTTCAGAATTGAAGTGTCGTGTGTAATCCACGCTTACCGCCTCACGGACTCAACAACGGTAGTTGCGGCCGAGGGGATTATACATATTGCAGTTCCAGTATATGAACTATTGAAAATATATCACTTAGGCCCTTCAGTTCCTTCTGTAATTATGATGACTCCTGAAACAATCAATCTAGGATTATTATTTTTAAAAAATATTTTTAATTTGGCTAACCTTGCATACTGCATCTGCAAGAGAACCGTAGATTTTGGTTGATGTACCTATAAGGACAATGGAATTGAATTTTTTTTTTTTCAAGAAAACCTCTATATTGAATTTTACATTAATATTAATCAAGTTCATGACATAAATAATTTATTGCGAAAGATTACCAAACAATAATAAGATAGTAATTTTTCACATAATAAAACAAATCATTGTCTCGCAGTGGAAGGAAAAAACTATTACATATGTCATACTTAGAGCATCCGCAACGGGCAGTAATTGGACCTTGAAAACTGTGCCAATTACTGCCCAATTCGAGACTCTCTATTGTGGCTCGTAGAAAGTAATAAGACACGTTTGCGCCTGCTGTTATATTTGAATCGTCAAAAAAAGCATAGAAAGGTGGGGTCTGGCACAAAAACCGATCATAAAATGAGAAAAAAAATCGCATTAAAAACAACTAGTTGAATTGAACGCGCTTCGCGCGAGCCTTAATTTTAAAAATCTAAAAAAATAATAATATATAATAAATGGTGAAAAAGAGGAAAATGTAAAATAAAATGATGCTAATTATTGATTCTATTTAATAAATTCAATAATTCAATAAATTTCTTACATTTAAGTTAAAATACATTTAAGATACATGTATAATTGTATAGTGAAAAATTATACCTAAATAAAGAAAAACTATTTATTTCACCAAATAATAAACCCAAATCAACATAGGAAAGCAAATAATAAACCCAAAACAACACACAGAAACGAAAAATACTTAGCTTACTTGGATTTCAATTTTCAAGTTTTCTTTAAACTCGTAATTCTAAGATTTGCCACTATTTTCTAAATACATATATTATCATATGCATTGTTTATTATTCTTATTATAATATGAACATCAATAAAAGTATCAAAATATTCCCACAGTTGTGAGTGCACAAGTAATATGACTAATATACATAAATATGACTTAATTATTTGAACATTTAAACAAAGAAATCCTATGAATATACACACTCAAAAATAGGGAGTAAAAAGCATGAAGTAATCCAACATTTGAAAACACATAATATCAAAACATAATACACATAATACGAAGAATATAAGAAGGATAGATAAATATATTCAAAAAAATTCAAACTATTTCGATTCTCTAAATACTTTTTTGTTTTAATTTAAAAAGGAAAATGGAATCATACATACTAAGCTTACTAAGTAGGAGAGTAAATTATATAATACCGTTTCTTCAAAATAGGATGCCAATGAAAGAATTGAGATTAGGGAAAAAAATCCAAACATAAGAGAAACTCAACGTTTCAATAGGACTAACACAAAAAATGTTCTCAATCGAAAGACTGTTATTTAAAGTATAAAAAATTTAGAAAATTAAACTAAAAGAAAATAAAAATCAATGAAAAAGGATGAAACAACTTGAAACCGTAAGAATTGAATGAAACATATTTAAAGTCACAAAGTTCTCATTAGAGAATTAAAAGAAAATTAAAGAATCATATTAAAAATGGTAAATTAGAGAAAACGGAAAATATTTAATAGAAGAGAAAAAGAAAAGGATCCTACACATTTTGTAGTATAATCAGAATTTCTCAAACTTTCTCCTTTTTTTTTGTGTGTATGTAGATGATGATTAATAATCACTAGACATTTCTTCTTTAACTACTTCTCTTCTTCCCCATTAATAATAGCACTAAGTAAATAATAACCACAATAATTAATCAGTATTAATTAAAGTAATAATGACATTTCAGTTACTTGCATGATTACTATTAAAATGTTGTCCAAACTCCCTTTTTATATTATAGGTTGATGAAAAGCCCTGCAATGGTGGGCCAAGTGTTGCCCACATCTTTTATAAATTTTTATTAATTGTCATTGGACATAATTTTTTTTTCACAAATTATTATCAAGCTGGCTGATGCAGGACCATATTTTACTCCATCCCACCATGATTACTCTTAGTTACATGCATACACAAAAAAAAAAAAAAGAAGAAGAAAAATGGTAGTTATTTTTTGTTTTTCATTTTTCAAAAAATGCAACAGTGCTCTTGTACTCTTTGTGTTAAAAGATATACTTGTTTACCTAATATGATTATTTAACTTCTCTAAAAGAATATTGGTTGATGGTTTTCATTTTTTTTATTATTTTTCATAAAATTCTTACAAGCGCATACGCTATTATATAGTTTATTGTACTTGAAAATCTTCTAACTGTAACCTGCAAGAAATGATACGATTATCTAACTTCTTTAAAAGGATATTGGCTGAGGGTTTTCAATTTTTTAAATAACATTATTTCAAACATATAGGTTATTATATATAGTTTATTGCACTTGAAAATCTTCTAACTGCAACATACAAAAAATAAAAGTATTGTATTTTGCTACTTTGGGGTCTATGGGTTCTCGATATGGGATCTCCTCAGTTGATGTCAAGCCATTATACCACTTGGACCACCTCTGTTAACAAGAGTTTTCGGGTTAAAATAAGATATATATTTTTTATTTAAATAGTATTATTTTTCTTTCCAGTCATGCATTATGACTTTATTATTTGAATATATTGTAATATCGTCAAAAAAAATTGTTATAAATTTCACTCTATGTGTAGGGAAAAATTTCATTAACGATGGAGAATATGGAGAATGTATGTTGTTATACCAATATCTTTATACTCATGCATATTCAAATGCAGAAAAATTTATATGTTTGGACAATTTTTGTGCTAACAAAAGAAGTTTTAATTCATTTTTAAATAATCTGTGAGTGAATGACAGCCTATTTTTTTTTTTTTTTTTTTCTCTATGTACTTAAAAATAAACCATTTTGGTCAGTTGATGGAAAATGGAAAGAGAAATATATGGGACTAGGATGGAACAAGTTTCACTAGTGAGGTCTAAAACTGTAATACTAATACTAATAAAATTAGTCATTTCAGACTTTTCAGTGATTCACAAAGCATTGACCGTACTTGGATATTTTTAAGCCCTAAAAAAGTTAAAACCCCCTTTCAAGAACAGAGAATAACTAACCTCTGTTTCCTTCAGAAAAACTCTCAACCGAAACAACAATATGGCCACCGTGGCATTCTCCGGTGGCCTCGTTACCAAGCTCAATCCTCATCATCCACTCTCTTCGAATTCAAGACTCCACAGCTTAATTGTAAGTTTCTCTTCTTGTTTTTGCTTTTCAAAAATACACATCATGCTTCCACCATTTTGCATGTTTGCTTGATTTGTATGAATTATTTCACAATTGATTCGTTTTTTACCGTATCAATTGAGATAGAAAATGTGATTTTTGAGTCCATTGTAAGAACAAAATGGTGGGTTTTCTTTTGTGATTGTAGAGGTGTAATGTGGCAGAGCCATTGAAGTTCAAGGATAATGGTAGACCAGTAATGCCTGTCATCAATGGTGAGCAGACGGCGACTTTTCCAAGCTTTTTGACTGCCACTCACTCGCTAAGAATCCCTAATCAGAAAAATGATATCAGGCTTAAGATCTTCTCGGGAACTGCCAATCCTTTGCTGTCTCAGGTATGGACTAAGTTATCGAAATTTCTAATTACCTGCGAGCATTGTTCATTTTTTCAAATGTGGTAAATGATTTACGATGAAGCTGAAGCCCTTTAGGAAGAGTTTTTGCCCAGTTGACATATGGGTTTTGGAATTTCATCATTTATGTATTTGTTGGTTGGAGGGCTCAGGAATGAGGAAAGATCATATATTGGTCAGGTTTTCATACTTAAGAACTTCAGATATAGTTTTTGAAGCACTGAAGTTGCAATTGTTCAACTGAGCCTGTTAAATATTTAGGAAGAGTTGGTCTTGAATTGATCGTGGCTTCTTTTTTTCACACTCTCTTAAAGTTGTATGTTGTGTTAGTTTGAAGTATTCTTGACCTAGCAGTCACAAATTTTTTCTTGGATTTTCGTTTCGTTTCTTCCTTCCTAAAATTGTGTTTGACTTATATTAGTTATGAAGGTATAGAGTGGGATAAGATTTTGCGGCTTAATTAGTCTGGATGTTTGCTTAACAGGAAATTGCATGCTACATGGGTTTGGAGCTGGGAAAGATCAAGATAAAACGTTTTGCTGATGGTGAAATTTATGTTCAATTACAAGAGAGTGTCCGAGGATGTGATGTTTATCTTGTGCAACCAACTTGCCCCCCTGCAAATGAAAATCTAATGGAGCTTTTGATTATGGTCGATGCTTGTCGAAGGGCTTCTGCGAAAACCATTACTGCTGTGATCCCTTACTTTGGATATGCGAGGGCTGACCGTAAGGTAACTTTGCATTGAAAGAACATCATCAGGGATCGTTTGTTAATTGGCTTACTGGCCCGATGCAATGTATAAGTATAAAGATGGAAGGATATAAAAGTTGTAACAAATTCAGTGAAGCAAATAATCTGATGTAAAATCCTAAGCAAGGTTTCATTACTATGATGTTAAAACCATGGAGATAAGTCTTAACATAAATCTTACTAAAATATATGAATGAGTTTATGCCTTTTGTTGAAGAATTATGACTCTGTGTATGCCTACTTCGGTCCCATATTTATCGTGATGCATTTGTGTTTGTTGTCTTATATCTAATAAAAAATAAGGTGCACCCCGCATGTTTCCTGCTTTTGTGTTTCATTTTATAACAATGGTTAGATATGATGTGGGAGAACTGGTTATTAACAAATATTCTTGAAGAGAATACAAGAAAATTGCGGGAGTATATGAGCACTGCGACCGGAAGATAGATCTCTTGTGTTTTACTAAAATTCAATGCTCATTCTGACTATGAGCTGCCTCTTTTCCAGACACAAGGCCGTGAATCCATTGCAGCGAAACTTGTAGCAAATCTGATAACTGAAGCAGGTGCAGACCGTGTTCTAGCTTGTGATCTTCATTCTGGGCAGTCAATGGGCTACTTTGACATACCTGTGGATCATGTTCATGGGCAGGTAGTAAGATCTTGATTACCTTGAAATTTTATCTTCAATATGGGTAGTAAAAAAATGGGATGCCATTCTTGTTTTGTAAAATTTACTTAGTTTAGTATGCTTCATACTTATTGGCTTCTCATTGCGAATACACAGCCTGTCATACTTGATTACCTTGCCAGCAAAACAATCTGTGCTGATGATTTGGTTGTGGTATCACCTGATGTTGGGGGCGTTGCTAGGGCAAGAGGTTTTGCCAAAAAGTTATCTGATGCACCTCTTGCTATAGTTGATAAAAGGCGTCAAGGACACAACATAGCTGAGGTTAGTCTTCATATTAGACTAGTTAGTCTCCTCTGGTTATGCTTCTTGTTAGTGATAGATACTTCACTTTTTTATTCACTAAGTCGGCTGTCATAACTGCACGACTGTGTCAATTCTGCAGGTGATGAATTTGATTGGAGATGTTAAAGGGAAAGTGGCAGTTATGGTGGATGACATGATTGACACAGCTGGTATTGATTTATGCTCAATATCTACACTTCCCTGTCTTTGTTGAGTATTTAGAACTTTCACTTGAGAGAATCTTAAAAGTATTCCCTAATTTCTTTGAACAAATAGTAAAAATAAACAAATGGTAATAGTTTGTGTAATAGCTGCAGGTCTCTTTAATTTCCTTAATTCCAAATGGTTGTTCTCTCATCAAGTTGCAGTTTTTATTCATATAATGCGTTCAATTTATTGATTTGTTGATGATTAACAGGAACCATCACAAAAGGTGCTGCCCTTCTACATCAGGAGGGAGCTAGGGAAGTTTACGCATGCTGCACCCATGCTGTATTCAGGTATACCCATTACAGTGGATTATGCACCATCGCTTGCGTTGTTGGGAACATGGTCTAAATCACTTTCATATTCTATGATTTTAGACTTCATTGTGGTATTTTATATGTTGAACTGGCTGTAAGTTCTCATATCTCCAGTCAGTTCACAAGTTGGGTGTGATTGTAAGCCGTTCTGCCTCAAAGTTGTGTTGCCATATTGAAACCTAAGCAAATATAATTAGACTCAAACTCTCTTCTATTCTAATAATCCGATATTTTGATCTTCTTACGCTTCTTGGAAAATAATGTTTTATTCTTTGTCTTTGAGTAGTCGTTTCTATGATCTACTCATGTATAACGGGCTGCAAAAGTTTCCAAGTATAATTTATGTGAGATAGCTATGTGTATTTCTTGTTCGAAGCCTCGAGTTTTTTTTGGCAGTTTGGTAAATAGTTTTATGAATTTACCTTTGGCAGTCCCCCTGCAATAGAGAGATTATCAAGTGGACTATTCCAAGAGGTAATTGTGACAAATACCATTCCGTTGTCAGAGCAGCACTATTTTCCACAGCTTACTGTCCTATCTGTCGCAAATCTCTTGGGGGAGACAATATGGCGTGTGCATGATGATTGTTCTGTAAGTAATAGCTTCACAATTGTTGAAACTTCCGTTTTTTATTTTCTTCACTTTTTTTTTTTTTCTCTTTGATATTTGAACACCATTTTTACTGCACATAACAAACTCCTTTTCGTTTATTTTCTAATGTATTTTCAATCTTATTATCCTTGAGATGAATTTACACTCCCCTTTGCAAGACTGAAGCATCAGAAAAGAAATTCTCTGTTACTCATAATGTAACCTAAAAGTTTTTATCTATTAACATTAGGAAGTAGAATCCATTTGCATCAGAAATTATGATATCCTTTTCTGGATTTTAGTCTTGTTTGATACCATTCAAAGGATTCACCAAGGAATTTTATTTTCTTTGTATTTCTGAATCTTTGATTGTCAGGGTGGCTTCGAACCGTATTCGAGTTTGGGAATAGATTGAGCATTTTCAAAGGGAACTACAAGCTTATAGTTCTGCTTGTGACTCTGGAGCAATATTTGTTGATAGTCAATCCGTCAATTTGTTTTCCGCTTCATTTTCCTCTCAGTTTTGGCAAGTTAGGCTTGTTTCCTCTTTTTTTTTTTTTTGTGGGTGGTTCGCTCTACCACCAATGTATGAGTGTATTGCAAAAAATATGTTAAAATGTAAATCTTGTAAAATACTCTCCGTAATGAATAAATAATAGGGAGCATTGGTTATTACCACTGGTTACGTTTGATATCCTTGCTATAGCGTTAGGTCGCTCCATCTTTCTTTTAGGATTATGAATTCCATTGTTTTTTCTTTGATGAGATCCCAGGATTTTGAGAGCATTTTGGTCAATTTCTCTAGCAGCAAATCGTATGATATGGATTTTGCTACTCTTCAACTTTTAATTAACAGAAGAAATCTGATCCCTGAAGGAAGGCAAAACATAATCTATGATCTATCTACTTGGTAGATCTATTGAAACTTGAGAGCACAATACTAAGTTACTAAAGGTTGTGTCACGCAAGCTACAGATGTTACCGTGTTTCAATTTTACTACTGCAATAACGTAATTTTGTAAAGACCAAAATCTATTGCAGCATGTCACTGATGAAATACTATTCACATACATGACCAATGGGACATTTTATGCAACTTATCAATTGTCAAAGATTCATCTTTCTATCTACTTCCAGTTGTTCATCGGCTAAAGGTAAATTTTCGGCCCTCCCTGTGCTTACTTTTCCCTGAACTTCAGAATTCTCGGCTTCCTGAGACTCGTCGCCGTCTCTCTTCATAAATTGAAAACCCATAATGTACCTATACTCCCCTGTCCCTAAACACCGCGAACAATAGCCTAGGCCACTTCCCCCACAACTTTTGCACCTGCACACGAACTAGCTGGTGAAGAATAGCTGACCAGAGTGTATTCTAACAAGCTACAGCTAGTGAAACAATAAATATATGTTGCTCACCACTTTGGCCATTCTCCCTTCGGAAGAATTGCCAGATGCGTATGATTTGTCCTCCCTGTAACATCAATAACAGTAAATTACCAACTGTATGATATATAAGAAGACCTCATACAGTATAAACCATTTGGAGAGACTCGTGAATTGTATTGACTAGTTATCGTATCCTTGAAGAACAGAATCTCTGACGGAAAATAAGAGTAGATCAGTAGTATCTGAAACTGAAAGCTAGTATTTTCCTAGGAAGAGCCAGTAAAGAAACTAGGAAACTAGGCTTAAGCACTGCTTATAATATGCTAAGGCTTTTCTAGAAGTGAACACTATATAACTCTGAAATACAGTCCATTTCAGCAGTATAAGTTGCATTCAGTATATAGAGAGAAGGGGAGGAGGGAAGGAGGCAGGAGGAAAGGAAACAAATAACCTGTTCCACGGCAACTATGACAATCAACTCTGCCACTACCTTTACAGACTACACAAGGTGGATCTGGCTTAAAAATTCGCTCTTTATGCACATTTGACTGCAAAAGAAAGTACACCAAACATGCAATTTAGCCAGATGCATGAACCGTGAATTTAGACCAACTCATATTTTTTGGTAAAAATAAAATATATCACAGAAAATCATATTGCAATCTCCAAGTGCATATCCAAATTAAAACGGATCCACCATGATTACTGCATCACAAATATTAAGACTAAGATCCAGAAATCACGATAGTTATGAAATTGGCAGCAGAGCATGCATAGCTTAACACATCAAGACATTGTGACAAAAATCATCATGAAGACAGATGCTGGAACACAATCCTACCATCTGAGACAGCACATTGCGTATATGAAAAACAGAATGACTCTAAATTTTGCGAATCTACTAAAATCAAATCGCATTAGTAGTAGCTATTATATTCCAACTCCAAGCTATTATCAGAAAAGACTGTTCTATGGCATTCATTGTCTAAAAGGTATAGTTACTTGCTTCCAACTTCAATCTATTGCTTTGTGGTGCGTTGTCCAACTTCAAAATTAACGGGGATGCTTTTCTTGACGATGCTTTTAGCATTATAAAATGCATGAGGACCTCTAAAAGTTTGTATGTAATAAATTTAGTTACAGTAACAAGCAATTCACTTCTTTCAAAAGTTTTAAACCAAAATTGATCAGATAGCTATAAGGCGAGTGCTCTACAATTCCTAAGCCTCTCAGCATTCGGTCATTATAGCAAAAAACACATTTTCGTTTAGGTTGTGTACTAGTCTTTTACAACTATATTTTTCCCTTTAGCACTATATGTATAACCAAGTTCTAAATGGCAGTTAAGGAAATTGCCCTTGACGATGACAAACCTATTAAGTAAAGAGCAATTTGAGTCATTTCATGAGAAATATGGGCTTTACTCTGACATGAATAAATTAGTTTCTTAGACACTTCCTCAAAATTTAATCATGTAACCAAATATCAACTCCTCAGCACTCACTTTTCCTGATGCAGCTGTATTGATACTTAGAAGAGTGTTAATCCCGTCTGAACTTCCCAGCTGATATTAACCCTAAACCATCAGTGATTTGAATCATTCAATTACCTTTTAGTCAGCTACCTATTTGTTCCATCAATCATGACATAGTTTTAAACGAGATAAATCACTTCAAAGAATCATCTTTTGGGTACAACAAGAACAGAATTGTAAATCATCCACCTATATCAAACTCCAGAACATCGGATACAACCCAGTTAGAAACTTAAAAAGTTATTTTGTTTCACATCACAACAGTGAAAAGTGGGATTCATTCCCTTCACCCCGTCCTCCATCTTCGTGTTAAACTTTCTTATCTCCCAAACATATGAAACTAGTAAATTTCAATGTCCCTTAAAAAGACATTTATCTGTAGAACATCCTGAAATATTCTATCCGGACAGTACTTTATCTCAATGCTTCAAATTAAAAAATCAATCCACTTGTTGAACAGAATTCCAGTCACAATTGGCTATTTATGGTCCATAACAATCATCAAACGGCGAAAAAAGGTACTCTACTCTTTCATCATAAAGCAAAAAAAATCAACAAGAAGATACTGGTGTTTTTTGCATTAGTCATACCTCAGTTCTAACTATCCAAGATGGCTTTGACACTGAGAGAAGAGGCCTAGTTGTTGCTGAAGGGTTGTGATTAGCTGGAGGAGTTGCATCTTTAGCAGAATTTGCAGCGTCTAATCTAATGGTATTAGCAAGATTCTGAACTCTCAACATTGAAATCCTATCTGGGTTACTCCCAAATTCCCCCCCGCCAGAGTTCCTTCCGGCTTCCGGTGATTGACGTTTACGAGCTCTGCAGACCAGCCACTGAGGACAACGGTGTTTCTCTTCAGATAAATGGCCAGAAAATGACTTGTTATTAATTTTTGACCGCTTGAAACTTGAAGTTATTACTACTACAATTTATCTCTTCGGCACCGAAAATTGGACTAGAGGGTGAAATAGGCACAAAGATGACAGCTTTGAAATATTACAAATTTGCAAATATGATGTAATTTTTCTGGGTTCATTAAATCCTCTTCCTGTCTTTGAAAATTTGAAATCACATACAGATCCAGTTAGTCCTAATTAGTCTTCAAGGAATTAAATGGGCAGTCTTTTGACCAAATTCCAGAGGACGGAATACTTCTGCTTCTGACTAGCCATATCATCAGAAGTGTAAAATACTACAACATGAGTTGGAATATATTCCAGAAGTTTATTATGGTAGGCAAGAAAGGATACATAATTAGTTAGATGACTACTAGTTTATTGATCTAATGGAAAAACGGTGGGCATATTTCTGGGTTCTGCATTAGATCATCCCTTTACTCTCTTTTGCCCTTCAAAATGATTCTTCTTCTCCAAATTCAATTATGCTCACTTCTTCATGGCCATGCTTTTCATCAAAGTTAGCCTTTGAGACTTGGAAAAGCCTCTCTTGGAGTACTCTCTTATCAATCTGGAGAAGGAAGAATCTTGTCTTTCCAGCAGCTTTGAAGGTGTGTCGAACTCAGCTACTCTTCCTGCTCAATCAGAAGTCATCATTATGAGTCATCAAAGTGAATGTGAAATCAAAATAAACAGACTAAAAACTCTCCATGTGATGGTTTATCGTCCTCTTACCATCACTAAGGACCAGGACAAGATCACTGTCGATCACAGTGTGGATCCTGTGAGCAATTGTAATAACAGTTCGATCTTTAAATTCTTGTCTGATGATCTTCTGCAGTACACCATCTGTAGCAGAATCGACGGATGCAGTGGCTTCGTCCAGGACAAGAATTGAGCTCTTCTTCAGCAATGCTCTTCCTAGACAAAATAGCTGCCTTTGGCCAACACTCCAGTTTTCTCCATTCTCAACCACTGAATTGAAAGTTTGTGAGAGTTACTCACAGGGGAATAGTTCAGCATTGCATTCTATAAACCGAAACAAGGCAAAAAAGATTACCTGTAGATTCTAGCCTCTCTGGCTTCAAACGCACCACGTCACCAAGCTGACATTTGTCTAGAGCCTAGTATTGTAAAACAAGAACCACATCAGCGATTGCTACAGAACAGTTGTTAATGATTCTCTGTTTTTATAGTTTCACATCAGCTCAAATTCATTCAAGCGCTACATATTGCTAAATGAAGCATACACTGACGGAAAAGTCATGAAGCTGATACTGTCCCCTACTTTGAAAGCCAAACAAAGAATCACCAGAGACAACTATTTCTCAACCGAAAATCAAAATATCAAAATGATACGACTAAGTGATTCAAATTCATTTATAAACAGTAAACGTGTTATCTTCTTTAAAAGAAAAAAGAAAAAAACTTACCTCCCAGATTTGGTTATCAGAGTACTGATCCTGAGGATCAAGGTTTCCTCTGACGGTTCCCTCAAACATTGTAGGATCTTGGGGTATTATGCTAAGCCTTGATCTCAAGTCATGAAGCCCAATTTTTGTGATGTCCACTCCATCAATTATAATGGTTCCTTCGGTAGGTTCAACAATCCTGAAAATGGCTTGTATCAGGGTTGATTTCCCACTTCCTGTCCGTCCAACTACACCAACTTTCTTCTTCCCTGGAAATGTGCAAGTTATGTTCTTCAACACAAATGGTAGATGCTCAGCATACCGGACCTGTGTACATATAACAACTTGACCATGAAGAACAGCAGAATCCAGAAATTGAAAACAGCAACAACAAGAAGCCTTTTTCCCACACAGAAATTGAAAGAAACGACTAAATCTTGAGTTTATTTCTCACATCAAGAGTTGAGGACATCAGATTATTTTATACAAAAAGTTAAAATTATAGTTTCTGAAAACCTTTTAAACTCTGCTCACCGTTAAATTTTTAAACTGGATAGTTCCAGTTTCTGGCCAAATTTCTGGTGGTCTGCAATCTTGAACTACCAGTGGTGCTTCACTTGGAATTTTAGAATATTGAAGAATCCTTTCGAATGATATCATTTTATTTTCTGCATTGCATAGAGTCCAAATAAACTCAGCTAGTTGGCCATTCAAGTTGATGCCATAAGTTACCGCCAAACCAGCAATGCCTGTGGAAATTTTGTTAGATCAGCATTAGAGAGGAGAATAATCTTTGGTCCACAAAGGGCCTCATTATTATCTGATGTTCTTTCATGATACCGTATTCATAAATATTTGAAGTTAGTTTATCACACACTAAAGATGCACGATAACTTCAATCACATTAACCTAGAATCTGCAATTCAAGAAGTTATTTTTGCTTACTGGGATTTATAATGCCATCTGGTAGAGTCACAAGTAATACTAGAGAGAAACCAAAGACAAAATTGGATAGCTGATTTAATCTGAAATTAAGCCATTCCAATGCTGCTAAATTGTGAAACCATGGTCTTGAATGATTGTCAATCAGACCGAGGTTCGAGTAGATGAAGCGACCCTTTAGATCGAAAGCACGTATTGTTGCTGCGCCAGCTAGTGATTCAGCAAAGTGATGGAGTATTGGAGCTCTCTGTATCCCAGCTAAACGTATCAGCTCTCTTGCTGTTGGAATATAATATTGCTGAAATTTTGATCAGTAACACTTGTGGTTAAGTACAGTACAGTATTAACAAATCACTTGGGCTTGTTGTACGCTGTCAAAGGGATTTAAAAATGTCATCCTGTCAGCTCTTAAAGTTAGTGTACAGCAATATCTTTAATTCGTACATCTTCTACGGATATGTTTTCAGTGAAAACATATGAGCCCACACATAGTTTCTCACTATCATGTATTCAAATTTTGTTTCTGCAGAGGTTTCCACAAAATTTAACAACAGAATCATGCCTATAGATGCATGGAACAAGTTTTGTACAGGAAAAAAAAAACCAATTTACTACGCAGGTGAGATATTTTACCTGGTACCAAATGCAAATGGCAGTAACAGGAATGAAAACGATAAACACCTCCCATGCCACCCGAGACATCACCATAATGGTCCCAAGTAACATAATCATTGTAACCGCACACCAATTTAATTTGCCTGCCAAATCTAGGTCTAGAACACTTTGGTCTGTCGATGCCTATTCATGTCACAGAACAGTGGATTAACTTTTCCATTCACGAATTTTCGTAATTCCATTCTATCTTTGAAACATGTTTACTCACCCTGTTTAAAATTCTTCCAGATGGAGTTGAGTCAAAGAAAGCCATAGGAGCATGAATGATGCTATATAGCATGTTGCTAAAGAGCTTCTGTGAGGTCAGGAGGCCTACCTTAGCCACTAATCTTGCCCTAATAAACACACAACATGCACTTCCAATGGCAAGAAGAATGTAAACAAATAAAATGAGACGTATTCCAGTCATTAGTTCAACATTTCCAGCAGGACAAGCCCATGCCATCCAGTAACTGCTGGTAACCTGCAACACTTGAGACAAGGACTCAACTGCTAGAATTAGTGGCACGAATGCACCGCCTTTAACTGTGCTCAAGTAAGAGAAATAAACTTCTTTGCTAATCTTTCCTGTTTCTCTTTCTTCTTCCTTCACAAGCCTTCCATCTTGTTTTGTTATTTCTAAACACTGGTTTTGCTGGGAATCTTTTTTAGTCTGTGGAGAATCCAAAGTGGAATTGATGTCTGTACTGTGTTCATCATCACTTGGCCCATGATCTAATGTTCTACTCGAGCTCTCAACTGAAGTAATTGATTCTAAAGCCTGGCTGTGAGCACCAACAAGGACTTCGAATCCCACACTTTGTTCTAGAAGTTTTTCATATGAACCGGCATGAGCAATTCTTCCATTTTGCATTACCTATAAACATCATAGGGCATCATTTTAAACCTTGAAAGTTGAATGAGGTCTTCTGTACACTAGAGAGTACTAAGGATGGAAACAAGCATGTTCACTCTACTACATTATCAAGTCTACATAACTTGTAAGACATCTTTCTTTAATTTATATTATTAGCTAATTTTCAATACTTTCAATGATTTGTCATAAAACTTTCTAGTACATTGTCAAGTTCCTAAAGGAAACATATATTGTACTTCAACAGTATCACTAGATCAATATATACAGGTAGGGAGAAGAACATTAAATTAGAGAATTTAAATATGTGAACTCAAAGAAAGTTGATGCATCATTTTCATAGTGTTTCCCTTACCAAGATGAGATCCGCAGCTGAAAGGAACTCTACTTGGTGGGTAACATAAATGATGGTCTTTTTCTTGAGGATCCCCATCAAACAGTCCTGTATTCATGACACAGTATAATCATATGAATCAGTTTTTGTGTCATCAACCTAAATCTGTGTACTCAATATCTGTTCATAAATGGGAGAATATGATCCTGTAAATGAAGCATTTCAAGATATCTGATTCTAATCAATGTCATCATCAGGTCCAACTAAGACTTAATTAAATAATCAATTAAGTGTCAAGTTACATTAAACAGCACGGTAACACATCTGCTGACCTTGAAGAGTTGTGTGCCTGTATGAGCATCCACTGCACTGAAGGGGTCATCAAGGAGATATATGTCAGCATCTTGGTAGACAGCTCGTGCAATTTGTATCCTTTGCTTCTGGCCTCCACTCATGTTTATCCCTCTTTCTCCTATCTCAGTTAGGTCCCCAGCTGGGAAAAGCTCAAAATCTTTTCTCAAGGCGCATGCCTCAACTGTTCTAAGATACCTGTCACTGTCATATGGACTTCCAAATAAAATATTTTCTCTGACATGTCCATTCAATATCCATGGAGACTGGGCAACATATGCGTTTGTACCACTAATGTTTACGATCCCTGATTGTTTTGACATCTCTCCAAGTATACATGAAAGCAAGCTGGATTTTCCTGATCCAACAAGACCACATATTGCCACCTTCATTCCTCTTGTAACCTTTAGGTTGATTTCATCAAGTGTTGCATTTCTTGAATCATTTTCCCAACTAAACTTCCCACTATTTATCTCAATTGAAAATTCTGTTTCCTGCTTAGGGATCATGGACACTGCATCTAACTGAATCTCATCTTCCTGGAGATAAGATGCAATTCTATCTGCAGAAGTTTTGGCTTGAGCAATTACTGAAAGTAACTCTGGCAGTTTAAATATAGGATCTTGGAGCATCCGAAATGTTGCCAATGCAGATAACACTCGCCCTGCAGTGAAAGGAATTCCCAGTAATGCACATCCAACAAAAGTCACTCCAGAAATAAGAGCAGGTGATCCACAAAAGATAAAAATAATTATTGTTTGCAACCTTAGCGACTTCCACAGACAGTGATTCTCAGTTTTCCTTAGAATTTCTAATTTCCGTAAATAATAGTTGTTCCATGCTTGAAGTTTTATTGTCCTCATATTATGAAGAACTTCCGAAGTGACTTTCATTCTGTCATCTTTTGTCTTCATTATGTTTCCCTGAAATCTCTTTTGGGTTCTAGTTAATGGTATGTTGCCATACATTACCGCCAGAGTGGCAGCTAAAGCCACAAGTGATCCCCATCCCAGGTTGTTGTGTAGCACGTAAACAGCCAAGGAAATCTGTATAGGCAACATCCATAGTATGTTCAAGTACCAGGTGAACTCACTTATGTTTTGGACATCAACACTCATAATATTGATAATCTCTCCACTTGTACGGCTTTGTCGTGAAGTGCTTGATAAGACTAGGCCCTTTTGATATATGTGTGATATTAAAGCAGCTTTACACCGAAGGCTTAGCTGGCGAGCCCCAAATTTCCACTGCCTCTGAGCTATGGTCTCTACAATTTTTGCACTAAGAAAAGCAAGTGCTAGTAGATAGCCACTTCTTAAACTCCTGGACTTTTTATCAACGAGGAATTCTACTAGATCATTAATGAGATAAGGACCCACATAGGATGAAGCTGCAGCTATACCCGCGAGGAAGGCATTGGTTGCTGCTTTTTTTCTCCCATAAATGTAAAGTGCCTTGTAGATAGATGGTTTTGTTGTTCCATCTTTCCTTTTTACACGATCTAAGCAGTCCCCAAAACAGGGAGAGAGAGTGTGAGCAGAGTGACTCAAATCAACATCTGGTACATCTTCCTGATTAAGAGGCTTCTTATACCCAATCTCAAACAGAGGATTGAGCCAAGAAAAGGTTATCAGTTGAAGAAAAGTGGCCTTTCCATAGAGAGATTCCGGGTTCCCTTCCAAATCTTTTTGAACTTTTTCCTTCAGTAGAGGGGTAGTAATGCCATCTGGAGCCACAAACACTATGCCTGTTTTCCCTTTAATTGAGAGAACAAATAAACCGGAGGAAGCAAGAAGATTCAGGAGATCGGTGAAGTCTTTCCCTTTGAGGTTTTCATGACTGTATATTACATGACTTCCATCAAGAACAGCAGATGCAAATGACAGCAAGAAGCTGGATATCCACCAAAACCTCAGGACCCAAGGTAGCTTGACATGTTTGTCTCTCATAATGTTGTACAGCATAGCTAGGGAAGCAGCCCAGCAAATAATGTGCATAGTATCTGATGTAAAATATGGGACCTTTACCTCGCACCGGCCAGCATCATCACTTTGCAGCATCAGCAGCATAAGGAAATGAGTTCCAAACAGTAAGACAGAACAAACAACGCTAAGCTTGTAACTCAGGACAACTTTTGCTCCAGCTGCATACTTTTCAGCAATGATAATGGTTTTCCTGCCGTCACATTGTGATCTGATAGCATTTCCTATGAATTGAACCAGCAGGACTCCTAAGAAACCAAACTGTACCACAATGCTGGCATCTTCTACCAAACAGGGTGAAGCCAGGAGCTTGGGCCATGCTGTAAGGAACTGGAATAAACCAAGACCTGCCATAGAAGTACAAAATGACATAATATGTAAGAAGGAAAAAAAAAAAAGAAGAAAGAAATCCATAAGTTTCATTGCAGCATTTTGCCGATCATTTGATGGCCTTGATGAATTTTACATTAATTCAACTCTGAAACTTACTTATTCAAAATAACCAATGAGCCAAAACAATCAAAGTAAAAGCTTGCAATAGAGATCCAAAACGTAATACTCTGGAAATGGTTTCAGGGAACCGCCAAGGAAAAGCCCGGACGAAGAAATCTTCCTCCTTTTTTTCTGGGTTAACTAAGATGCTTGCCATTAAGATTTCAAAATGGATTACAGTCCTATTATTTAAGCAAAAGGGTGCCATTTTACTTTAAAATTCTTCACAAATCTGGCTTCCAATGTTGGATTATAATCTCCCGGATAATGGGTTTATGGTGGACTTGCTAAGAAGTATTTAAGCAGACAATCAGCAAAGCATTCAATATTGAAACTTGTCCGAGGTTCTTTCGGGGATATACTGTATTATTTAATAAAAGGAGGAAATAGCTTTTCTAGTCCTCAACATTTTCTTACGTTCGTTAATTAAGCCCCATTCTTTAAAACCAGGTAAATTTGGTCGTTGCTTTTTGTTAGAATTTTTTTCAATTATAAGTTCGTATTAGTCAAACCTCAAAATTTGATTGACATGTGGTTTGAGGCTCAAATGGACCAACTCAAGTCGTATTAGTCGAAGTCTGATTGACATGTGTAATATCAAAGGAGTCAAACAATGGGTTAACAAAGGAGCTAGTTATTATCATGTGCAATATCAATGACAACCAAGATCGATAACTTGTTTAGCTTAAAATTTAAATAGAATGAAGACTTATATAATTTCTTTCCATAATAAAACTATGACAAGGTATGCCTGGAAATATCAAGTTATTGAAAGCAGCAAAATTCTGTTGAAGTTACGACTATATACTATCTATGTCACTGAAAAATAATCTACATTGAAATTGTACCAAAACTCGATATAGATTTTTTTTTTTATGACAGAGAGAGTTTTTTTTTTTTTTTTTGCACGAAAAGAAACTCAAAAAGTTGATTCTATAGTATTCAGTAATTGGATTATGTTGCTCAAAAAAAAAAAAAAAAGAAACAAAACGAAATTGAATTTTAACATGCACCTTACAATTTTGATCAAAGACATATTAATCGATGTAAGAATTTGGTAATTTAGCATATTCTCTCCAAAATTCCTCTTAAAAACAAAAAATGATAGTAGTACAGAAAAGTTTGATTAATGGGAAACTAAATGCTTTGTACCTTGTATAATCGAATTTATGAATTTATGAAATAATATCTCAGCTTGAAAGCATTCAAACTATAAACTTGAACGCACAAAGGATCACCCAAAACGCTTAAAGAAAACAGAATCACACACGAGGGTTGCGGCTGGTTGCACACACATAAACAAAAACACAAGGTTTTGGTGAAGTATAGAACAGAATGCAAGAAATGAAAATAAGAATCTGGATTGCTTTAACTAAAAAATAATTCAACAAATGTAGCTCTTAGTTATGGGACAAACAAAGTGTTTTTACTACTGTATATAGTAGTGTGCTTTCGATTAAAAATTGAGAGAAGAAGCTAACTTAGTTGGATGCTGCCACTGCCAGATGTTACCATTGCTTTTCTGGTTCTTCCAATACCAATAGCAACTATGGCCAGCTTTCTCTCTGGCCAGATTGAATATGGCTTCTTCCAATTCCAAAAACAAATGAATCTCAAATATGCTAACTAAGCCAGTTATATTGGAGCTTTATATATGCTCTGAAACACACACACACACACACACTCACTCACTCACGCAAAGGAGAAATCTATATATAAAGTAATTCAGTGTGTGAGTGAAAATTAGATGGCAAAATGAATTACGAAAGCAAGAAAGCTCAAGGAAATGAGCTGAAGGAACTTTTAGGTGTATCTATGAAGCACACATTTGCAATTTCATGTTTTTGGACTGGAGCTACCTGGAGCTGTTATTTAAAAAGAATCATCAACAACCACCACATATGTGTCTTCTACTCCTAAGGTGCAATTCTGATCAAATTAAAGCTGCTACTATTTCTAAAGTAACTAATAATTTAGAGAATTAGTTGGACTTTAATTAGTGGAGAAGTTGTTTGGAAAATTAATATTATTTTTTAAAATTTGCCGAGGATACAAATATGCTTTCTCTGTCTCATAATTAATTAGTAGAGTCCGTTATGAAGTTACGAGTTTAAATTTCTGCATAAATTAAAGAGAGTTGAAAGACTTCAAATATTTTCCTTCCTCCTCAAATTAAGAATTAATCCATTCGAAATATTTTCCTTCCTCCTGAAATTAAGAATTAATCCATTCGAACAGAATAATAATTAATCTAAATGTGATATGTATTTGGCTTTCGATATTTAATGCCGTTTTTTTTTCTTGGGTACCAAATAACTAAGAAAGGTCAATTAATCACGTTTGGTGATGAAATAATTTTGTAGCTAAGGGGCCGGGCTGGTTGTGTCATTATCATTCCTTCTCTTCTCTTTTTGAGTCAAGTCTTTGATTAATTTCCCATTCTCCCCCTTTTTTTTGGCTTGCGCCACAAGTAACAAGTTATATACTTACCTTGTTTTGTCCCAAGAGAAAATTTTAAACAAAGTCTAACGAACTTATAAGAAGTTGAGTGTACAGTAATTCTAGATTCTCACCTAGCGCAAACATGTTAATATAAAACTCAAAAAAAAAGATAGTGGCTTATTATAATATTTAAAAACATCACTAAATTTTGTCGGCCGTCGTTAAATCTCAATTGCCAAGAATTATTTGTATGGAGAAATCGATGATAAACGAAAGTGATTTATCATGTTTATATACCAAATTGGTGGTATATAATCTTTTGAAATTTTTTTAGTTGGAATCGAAAGTTAATTTGAGAATATATCATTAACTGAATTGAGGGCTTGGTGTCGGTGATAATGTGATGGAATCGCGAAAAACATATCATAAATATAAATATTGACCTTCATATTCATCCAAACAATAGCCCTTGAAAATCAATGGAAAAAGCAATCAGAACAATAAAGATGGAAAAATTATCTATTAATTCCCGCAACTGAATCGAGCAAATCCGGCTTGAAGTCTGTGCCGGCTGATACTTTCCGGGTGAGAAAGAAAGAAATTGCAGCCGCATAAAAATGGTCAATAAAGGATAGATGAATTCGATGAAATTTATCAGATACTTCATTTTTCCAAAATAAAAAATAAAAAAATAACCTTGAATTTGATTAGTATAAATTTAAAAACTCGATGTGAATTTATTCGATGAAATTTTGTCAGATACTTCATTTTTTCAAAATAAAAAATAAAAAATTACCTTGAATTTGATTAGTATAAATTTGAAAACTCGATGTGAATTTTTTTATTTTTTATTTTTATAGATGTAGTCTTATCAAGAATATAAGATTGGAAAAAAAAATCAAAACAAATTAATGATCTAAAATGAGAATATATGTCTATGCTATATACTATATATTAGGATATAAGTGTATATGGTTACATACTCCTCCGGTTCTTATTATTATATATTTGATTTGTCTTACATCTTATTTACTAGTATGTTCTTTCATGTAGTATGTTTTATGTTTTTGACACTTTCTTTTTGTTTTTTTTTTTTTGACTAATTTCACACGTATGCAACAATTTTTCGTCATTGAAGGGCTCGTCTGACAATTGTCTAGCCGGTCAAGAAATTTTTCGATATTTTTTTCAAACAGTAAGGGTATTTTAGATAATTAAAATACATCTTGAGGGTATTTTTTTATATTAACCTTCTTTTTAAAAAGCCTAGGTAAACTTTTTTTAGAATTACGTTTTTGCCCCGGGGAGGTTCAGTTGTCCTATAAAACCTGACCCGCGATCATCATCGAGAGCAGTCTCATAACTCTCCGTGATTCCACCATGTTTACAATCAGAAGATCTTCGAGAATTAAGGCTTCTAAAGAGAAGAAGAGAAAAGCTATGATCGATGGCGGCGGTGACCAACAAGTGAAATCATTAAGAATCATCTCCTCCGCCAGAAACGGAGGAGGAGGAAGTGGAGAAGATAAAGAAGATATTGGAGGAGAAAGAGAGGAAGAAGAGGGAAGCGGCTAAAACCCGTGCACGTTCTTATACTAAACCATCCTCTGACGCCTCATGGGGGCGATACTATAACCTGCTTTGGGGCTCCATTCGTTCCCTGTGACAAAAACGAGGACTGCGAAGATTGTTATAAAGAGGAGAGATATGGTGGTATTGAAGTGGGCCAGGTAGGTTGGTTATCCTACCAGGTCTGGTTTCCTCACAATGTATAAGGAATGCACTGCGGCGTATAACGAAACCCATGTTGAGGAACCAGCTTACCAGGTTCATGAGATCGAGTATGTCACTCGCATCAGAAGCGGTTGCGTGGCTGATGTATATTATCTCACCTTCAAAGCCCGTCTTGTTGATGAGGACGCCCTTGGCGGCAGAGACGACAACATCCAATCGTTTCAAGCTAAGTATTAGTACATTAATTACTTGAAACCTAAGACAGAGGTGCTTGTTTGTGAACTGGAAAGCGTGCTTGAGGAACAAGAGAAGTCCAAGCCTTGCACTCTTTGTTGTTGCCAGAAATATTAATTAGCTCTCTGCCAGTAGTTGCATTGCTCAAAGCAGTTGTAGTGATGTTGCGGCCTTGTTATTCTTCCTCGAACCGTTTTGTGGGGTGCACTCCAAATGCTTATGCTCCATTCATCCAGGTGTGTGGTTGCTTGCTCTTTTTGTTCTTTGGGTGCGAGTGCTGCCTAAATTTAGTCATCCGAAGCAACATGTATTAAAAATAGTAGTACTTGTGGTGATGTTCCCTCACGAGGCTTCCTGCAAGTGTTTTGTGGCACTCCAAACATTTTAGCTACATTCATCCAGATGTGTGTTTGCTTGGTCAGTTTGGAGCCAGTGTTTTGTCTAGATAGTATTTATTGGGAGCATAATGTATTTATGCGTAAAATTGATGACCTGTGGCTATTTAACTACTTTTCGTTGTGTTGAAGTGAAAGATGATTATGGTTACTTGGGCTATTTAATTTGCTTCTTTGATTGAACTACTTTTCGTTGTGTTGGACTACTTTTCGTTTAATTTGCTGCTTAAACAGCTTCTCTGTATTGAAATACAGGGATAAGGCTGCGTACATCTTGATCCCCAGATCCCAATCGAGTTGGGAATTTACTGGGTATGTTGTTGTTGTTGTTGATTGAAACGTTCAGTGGTGTGTGTTTTATTTTTCTCTAATCAAAGTCAGAATTGTGTACTATCGGTAGTTTACTTTGTCTGGCCTGGTAAATAAATTACACAGCAATATAGTAGTTGAACATAAAATATTGGAGCTATGTCTCGACATGGAACAGAAATTTTACTGTAAAAAAACAGCTATATTGTGTTGGCCCGATATTCCCCTCAATTGGGTCAACAAGGAAACAAATAAAATCAAGCCAAATTTGGCTTTGGTTTTAGGAAACAAAACCTACTCCAATTGGGTTTTTGTTTTTAGGTTTTATTTGCTCTATAAAAGTAAGGCTTTGGCATAATTTTTAGGTGTGTATTTTCAGCCAAGAAGAGAAGAAAAGTTTGGGCAGCCGTGCATTGTTTTTGTACGAGAGAAAAAGAAAGAAAGCTAGGGTTTAGTTTTCGGTTTAGCTCTCTTTTGGTTAGATCCTTCCAATCCTACTTTGTGATTTAGGGGTGTGTGGAAGAGTATTGTTGTAATCCACCTTTGGGTGAAGTTCTGTGTATCCACCGGTTGGTGAAGACTGTTTTTCCATTATTGTGATAGTGGAGATTTGACTGTTGTTACAGTCCCGTGATTTTTCCCGATTTGGGTTTCCACGTAAATTCGTGTGCCTCCTTTATTTTATCAGTTCTTGAATTAGTTGCTTATTTAGGTGGTTGTCCTATTTTATTGGTAGTAGGAAAGGAGATTTTCTTGGAGTTCGCTTCCGCAGTGTGTTGTATTTATACCCTTTCCACCACAACATATTGAACATCAAATGAAAGAGTTTGATTAGACAAATTTGAAGGAGTTTTTGTGCAGAGAATGTATCTTTTAGCGCAAGAGAATCTAACCAAACAACAAATTGTAAATGGGAAAGAAGCCTGAGCCAGAAGTGTGAGCATTATTTGACTTGAAAAAAGCTTCGTATCTTCATCAGATTGCGAATTGGTTACCAAGGAACTCTTTCAACTTGATCTTTTACCGTAGCTGGAATTGACAAATGTTCAAACTTAGATGTAGGATGATGAACAACATCTTGTTCCCATACTGGACTTGATAGTATACTCTTGTTTTTATATAGACTTTGTTTCACAAAGTTTTGATCCTCAAGATATCATGAGCATCATTATTGAGGCAGGAAAAGAATTAACAAGAATCTCTACTCAAAAGAAAAGAACCATGGCGACATTTAGAGAAAACTCACACACACTAAAGGCGTAAAAACACTCGAATTCATCGCTTTACCAAAACAATTATGTACATGAGATAAAGTTTTAAACATTAAATTGATATGATCTTCACGATTCTTTTCTTGGTAAATTTGATCTTTACGATTTCAAATCAATTGCCGTCTCTGATAGAACCTCAACCCTGCACGATTTTATAATATGTTTAATCCTCAC